CCAGAGGGCCTCCAGAAGCTGGAAACAGGCCTATTTCCAGACTTCTGGAACTTCCCGTTTGGCCCATTTTTCTCCTTCCCAGAGCTTCCGCGTGGTTCCTGCACTTACCTACATCCAGAACAGGCCACGTGGAGACTCCTGGGAGGGTAGGAGTGGACGGGGCCACCAGTTCAACTACCAGTTCAGCGAACCAAATTTAAATGTAACACCCGGTTCACTCTAACTAGGCCGAATTGGCTGAATCCCACCCCTGAGGAGAACCTTATTATGTTAATCAGGTTTCAGGATGTGCAAAACACGGAACATTTCAGAGATCTCTGATCCGTGTCATTGTTTGTCTCTTTTCAAATGAAATCTGATCAAAGATGTTCACCATCTCCTCCAATCCTAAAAAATATTTCAGTACTATATTTACCTTGCTGTTTGTATAGACCAGGAATGTCAAGCTCAAGGCCCACAGGCCAGATCTGGCCCTCGGAGTGTTTAGATCTGGCCCGCGTGACCGCCTGGAAACAGTGAAGGACCAGCCCACAGGGCCTCTGTCAGCTAAAAAGGAGCTCGGGAGACGATGTACAGCCCTCCCAGGTTCCATTTTCAGCCGTGATGGCTTTCTGCAGCCCTCTGCAGTGAAAAAGGAACTGGGGGGGGGGCCTACACGTGGCCTCCCGAGCTCCGTTTTCACTGCAGAGGGCTGCAGGAGGCCATCACGGCCGAAAACTGAGCTGGGAGCCCATTTTCACTGGTAGAGTGCTCAGGCCACCACAGGCACCCCCAACACAAGTGACATCAAGCAGGCCATGCCCACCCTGGCCACACCCACCCCAGCCCCTCATGGTTAAAACATAATCCTGATCCGGCCCTCAATGAAATCAAGTTTGACACCCCTGGTATAGACTGTAGGAACCCATTTCCTCGAGCTCATAATGTCTGTTATTTTGCCATAAGCTTTTAATTATAATTATATTTTGGGGGAAATATGCAGCCTTGATTTATAATGTTATTATCACCATTACCATTATTAAATATGGTCATTTAAATTTATATCCATAGATCATGCACAGTGGGCTGATCCAATTCAAAAGCTCATTAAAAATTGATGGCTAGAGCTACAGAATTTACAATGGTTCAGAAGAACCGGGAAATCTTATAAAAACCAAAGCTAATAATAATCCCAAATTTACTGGAGGACATGACATTAGACAAAGTAGCTGATATATCCAGCAACCAACCCATTCTTCTTGCAGACTTTCTGAAAATAATACTTGAATACATTTATTCCATGAATTGGGACTGGGTTTTCTTTCTGCTATCTATCTGTAAAGAAAAAAACATTTTATGAGGGCATAGTTAGCCCTCCGAACAAGATGCAAGATAGTGGCCAAAATAATTTGCTTAGGTTGGCAAAATAGCTTAAAGGCCAAATGTGATTATAATTGCAGCAAAGCAATTAGGAACTGTTTTTTGGTTAAGTCAATAGTAGCCAAGGGACAACCTGAGCAAACCTAGAACTGCGAGGAACAGAAGTTTAACTCTTTCCTTCCTTATCACAGACTTTTTAAAGACTTATTTGCATTTTCTAGGGGAAATATGTTGGCTGATCCTAATGCAGGATTGCTACTGACATACATATTCCAAAGAATTCACGTTGTTTGCATATATCTCAAACTCAAATTGTCTCAGTCTGCTTTTTTTTTTCCTTTCCAACTTCAGTTCACACCTATTCCAACATCTTCTCTTTACACTATAGAATTTCTCCCCAGAACAGTATAAAATACACAGCTTTAGTTTCAAAATCACCTCCATCTCCTCCAATCCAAAAAAACCCCCAAAAAACTGCTGGTCATTTCAACATTACATCTAACATTTCATATCCCCACATCAATACACATGCTACTTAAATTCCATTCCGAATTTACTTCTTTCCAATCTGGGGAGGAAAAAACCCAGCAACTCCCAAAAATCACTTTGTTTCTGAGTAGACATGTCTAGGACTGCACTCTTGGGTTAAATAACCCAACATGAAAAGGGGGCTTGCATATTTGTGCTCAGAAGCAGGTCCAGAGATTTATTTTGGATTTGCTCTCACAGGTAAGCAAATTTGGGACTGCCATTCCATGTGTGGCTTTTTGTAAAGCCCAATCCCTTTCCAGTAAAACATCTCACCCCATTCTCTTTCCTCTGTCCAAATTTGAATAAAATTAAGAGGACCCACAGCTGTCATTTAAGCCAGTAGCCCATACTGTTAACATTGCTTTTAATTTAAGATTAAGCCCTGGAGTAGTCGAGATGTAACCAAGATGATCCGTATCTCTAAGAAGGCGCAGCATCTCTATACGGGTGTTGTTTGACATACCTGCAAATCATGTCAGAGAGCCAAAAAGAGAGTCTTGAATCGGGTAAATAAATGTCGCTTCTGCCAAGGGAGCCGCGTTTTGAAACGAAGGACTTGCCCTTTAAAGATACGGTAGGCGTTTAGCTGTCCTTTGCCCTCGCAGCCACACCGTCCAGCTGAGATTATATTATAACAAATTCGCCAGGATTAAACCGTGCGCGGCTCTTCTGTTCTCTCCTACCAGCACTTTTCTAAATTATTATTATTATTTTTAAAAAGAGACGCTTTAACGCTCCCTCTCTGGTATTTATCTATCTGTCCCAAAGCGGGATTGCTGTACGGTTGCCTGAAGCTTAATTTACCAGGTTATTTATAAGCAACGGAGTTCCTCGAACTTGGAAAGCACGTGTTGTTGTTTTTCTTTAGCCCACTTTACGAGGTTTTGTTTACCTCGGCAAACTGGGCAGGAAATCTGTCGGCCCGAGTGGACCAGAAAACGCTATTTGGATAAGCTTGAGGGGTTTTGAGAGGGAAAGCAAACGATTTTCAATCAGGCCGAAGATTATTGCAAGCCGAGAGAAAACTCCGCTGTCCCGTTCGCCGTTCCCAAGACCCGCTCGGCCCCCGAGGGAGGGGAAGTGTGTGGTGGTGGGGAAGCGAGCACCGCCAAGCCTAACCTCCGACCCGCCGGCCCAAGCAGGCTCCCGGCGCTCCCTTTTACCTGTGCAGAGAGAGGCGCAGGCTGTCAGGACAAGCGCCGTAGCAGCGCCCAGTCCGGAGCGGAGCGCTCGCCTCATGACGGCACATGGGAGAAGTTCTGGCAGGTGGGAAGGAGAGAGACGGAGGGGGGGGGGCGCGCCTGTGGGGCTTACAGGGCCGGCCGGAGAGGCGAGCCTCCCCCACCCCACGCCCACCCCTCCAGCCGTGCGACGCGGAGCTCTTCGCCACCAGCGACTCTCGGCGCCGCTGGAAGAAAGAGGCGGGCATGGAGTTTCTCCCCCCTCCGCCCGCCACGACTCCGCCTTGCCCGGTCACACCCCCTTGCCCTGCGGAGGGCTTGCCCGGGTGAAGAAGCCGCCTGGAGGGTCAATGCCGGCGGACAGGCGGGCGCAAAGGGAGGGACGGTCCAAGTAGCTCGCCTTGACACAAGGGGCTGTCCAGCCACCTCGAAGGAAAACGGCGGGTCGAAGGGTTGGTTGTTGCGCCTCAGAGCAGAGGGGCCGCCGGTGGCCGCAAGGGCTGTTTCGTTTCTGGCGGGTAGTTCCAGGCGAGGCGGCGAGAGCGCGCCAAAATCACCGCCCTGTCAACCCCTCGGCTGCCTTCCCTCTTCAGCGCACTTCTTACAGGTAGTGCTCAACTTACAACAGTGCATGTAGTTCGCGGTTACAACGGACACTGAAAAAAGTGACTTATGACCGTTTTTCACACTTATGACGGTTGCAGCATCCCGGTGGTTCACGTGTGGGTTGCTTGGCAACTGACTCACAATCATGACGGCTGCAGAGTTCATGCGATCCGCTTTTGCGACCTTCTGTCAAACAAAGTCAATGGGGAAGCCAGATTCACTTAAAAACCACCCTATTAATTTAACAAGTGCAGTGATTCACTGAAGAAAATGTGGCAGGAAAAGTCATCAAATGGGGCAAAACCAGCTTAACAAATGTCTCACTTAGCGACATAAATTTTGGGCTCAAGTATGGTCGTAAGTCGAGGACTACCTGTATTGTGAAGGCTGGGTTTTGTTTTTTCTTCATAAAAGCATAAAGGACATACAGTTAGTCCTCCGCTTACAAACACAGTAGAGCCCAACGTTTATGTCGCTAAATAAAAAACATTTTAAAGCGAGCTTTTGTCCCATCTGACGACCTTTCTTGACACAGTTGTTAAGGGAATTGCTATGATTGTTAAATTAATAAGATGGTTGTTAAGTGAACGTGGCTTCCCCCGTTGACTTCGCTTGTCAGAAGTTTGTAAAAGGGGATCATGTGACCCTGGGACACTGTAACCATCGTAAATGTCCAGCCAAGGGACAGGAACCGTGTAAAGTCAATTGGAAATTACAACTGAAATGTAAATAAGTGTATGCCATGTACCAGTGGGGGGATTCAAATTTGTTTACTACCGGTTCTTTGGGCATGGCTTGGTGGGCAGGGTGTGGGTTGGTTGGGGGGATACTGTAAAATCCCCATTCCCTCCCCACCCCACTAACCTGCTTTCCAGCTCCGTTCTCCTGTGCAGGGCAACAAAAGAAGACCCAGCCAATCAGCTGGGACTTGGGAGGCAGAGAATAAATGGGGGCAGGGATAGTCAGAGGTGGTATTTGCTGGTTCTCCAAATTACTCAAAATTTCCACTACTGGTTCTTCAGAAGTGCTCAGAACCTGCTGAATACCACCCCTGCCATAGAAAATACGCAATACAACTGCATTGCTTTTATTTTGAAGGTGCTATTTTTCACCCCAATTTACACATATGCCTGTGTGCGAGCTTATGTACTTTCACAGCCCTATCGGTTCGGCCCTCCACAATAGTCCCAGTTTCTCATGTGGCCTCTTGGGAAAATTAATTGCCCACCCCTGCCATAGAAAATCCACGAATTATTATTTCTATGTGGAACGTCTGAGTACAGGTAGTCCTCAACTTACAACCACAATTGAGCCCAAAATTTATGTTGCTAAGCAAGCCATTTCTTAAGTGAGTTTTGTCCCATTTTACAACTTTTGTTGCCACATTTGTTAAGTGAGTCACTGTAGTTTTAAGCTAGTAACACGGTTGAATCTGGCTTCCCCATTGACTTCGTTTGTCCAAAGGTCACAAAAGGTGGTCACACGATCCTGGGACAACTGTCGTAAATATGAGTCAGTTTCCAACTGTTTTAATTTTGATCATGTGAACTTTTTTCACATGATTACGTCACTTTTTTCAGTGACATAACTTTGAACAGTCACTAAATGAACTGTTATAAGTTGAAGACTACCTGTATATGAATATCGCAAGCATTTCCTGTTTACTAGCTGAGGTGGCAAGGGACATTTTTTTTGCCCTCCAATGCCTATGGCTTTAGTGAAAGCTTTTCCATTTTATTTCAGGATTGTTAAAAAACTTGTTTAAGTTTCTACCCTATTCTATATAACACAGGACAAACAGCTCAAAGCTGTTTTTGCAGCAAAACTGCTTTCAGGATATAGCACAATTATTATATAATGAAAATAGGTTATTTCCCACATCGACACAAAAAAGCTGGTTGATATTTAATTATTATTATAATATACTATTAAGTTTATAGTATAACTTTTCTTAAACTTCTCTGTATAATAATTTGAAGTTAGTTTTTCCTGGTGACTAAGCCTTTTCAGGATTATAAATATCTTGAACATGGACATAAAAACCAGTCATTCATACAGTGCTCAATAAGCTCACTTATTCCTGCCGATATACATTTTGCAAGGAGTTCAGATTAATCAGATTAATAGTTTTGCAAATAACTGTTATATAAAGACACCTGGTATACTTTAAAAATTACATTCATCTAAAAAAAACTGTATAATATGCCTTTAAAGCACAGCATACAGAGGGGAATAGAAGAGGGCATTTTATAAAATTATATTCCAGATCAAGATTAGGAGGGCTTCAGGGTAAAATTAAGATAGTTTAGCTGCTTGTTGATCTAATTCAAGTTCCCAGCAGGTGGCAGCATCTTAAGTATTTAGCATAGCCAGATCTGGTTAGTAACTGGATTGGAGATTTGCAAATACAAATGGAAATAAAGATCAGAGGAGAGCGGAAAAAAGTGTAAGGTAAAAAATAAAAGGAAAGAAAAAATAATAACTTATAACTCTTTTTGGTGCAGTAGAATACAAAATGCTTTACATTTCTGATAGATACAAGCCATTTCTACAACAAACAACAGAGTTAACCTAGTCATCAAAGCTAAGATCAAAATTTCTTTTTTTCCTCTTTTGAGTATGAAGTCCAGAACTGGTTTCCAAGTGAAAGCAGGATAAATGGTAATTATCTTTTATTACAATTCATCACTTTTTCCATCTATTCTTCCATTGTGGGAATTGACACAAACCATTTCCATACTGTTGCCAAGAAAACTATATTGTCATAGCCATGGAATTAACAGGAATAAAGCTTGACTTGAAAGTCATTGCGTCCAATTCTTAACAGTTCAGTTTTTTAAATGTAAACAAGTTGTGTTCATAAACAAGTTGCGTGCATAAGCGCATCAACGTCCCTGTCCTATTGTTTCTTTTATATATTTTTTAATTTTTCTTATATGTATCCATGTATTCGTAACTATGTTTTTGCTTATACCTATTATCTTGTAAGCAATTGACAAATAAAAATAAATAAATAAATAAAAAAACAATTCTGCATATTGTATAAATTCAGAGATACTGTTTGAATTTAGTGTATCTTTTATAACTTCAAACTGACCAAACTACATGCTTTTTAAAAATCTTACACTTAAAGCAGTAAATGTCAGACTTGAATCCCAAAGAAGCCTGATATTATGGTTTACCTTATATTATTTTGCAATGTTGAATAAGCTATATAACATCAGTCTGAAAGGATCCCAGTGAACAGTTGTTGCCATCTCAGTTTTCAAATAGTTAAGAAACTGCCAAAAACTATTGTATTTTACTGTATGCTTATTATAATACTCCTAGTACTACAGTTTGCTTTTTGTTCTTACTGAATATCTCAAACTTGCCCTATTTCCTAATAGTTCTGATTTACTTAGTCCCCATGCCTGTCCGTTTGTTCTGTATTTTTGTGACAACTAAGTGTCCACAACTGTATTCACTCTATAACTTCCCAAATGAGATCTTGATATTTGATAAAGAATACCAGCATTGTAAGGGATCTTGGACAACTTCTAGTCCAACCCTGTGCTTGAGCAGAAGACCCTATGCCATTTCAGACAAATGTCTGTCCAAATCTCTATTTAAAAACCTCAGTGATGGAGTAGCCGCAATTTCTGCTCATATTGCTACATAGGTATCCCAGAGTAGCCTTAATTTTTGTCATTGTATCAAATCACAAACATTTTGGACATTAAGGGTTAAAACCATTAAACATTTGTGCCCAGAGCACTGCAACACTGTTTTTGATGTCAATTAAGGAAACCGTGTTAGATTACAAAGTGTCTGGAATATTATCAATAACCTGTATTGACGGACATCCAGTAGCCCTTTACACTAATGGTTTTGAGGAGGTCAAATGGTTTGAGAGATATGCTCAACTCACTAAAATTATTATGTATTAAATATAAGACAATTTTATTGTACCAATGCTTTCAGCTTGCCATGATGAGTAGCTTTTGATTTCTTCAGGATATTACTTTCTGGCAAAACATGTGGAAACCTTTTATCTCTCTTTTTTCATATAATTTTTATTCAAACTTTTTTTTTTAAAAGATTAAAACTAATCCAAGCTAAGACGAGAGAGAGGGGGGGGGAGGTGGGGAGGGAGGGAGGGAGGGAGGGAGGGAGAGAGAGAGAGAGAGAGAGAGAGATACTATGTGGTTTCTGATGTTCTTCACAGGAGTTACAAGTACAATTATATTTTAACTTCCTTTTTTAAAGTTACATCATAATATTCTTTCTATAATCTATTCTGTCTAATCATCAAAGCCATAAAACATAAGTTCTTTTTTCTTCATTTTAGCATGAATAAGTTTTCAAGTCACCAATAAATGTAGACAGTGTCTTTTCTATTAGCTTTTCTATTAGCTATTCAAAACAATGAAAAACACTTCATCCTGAAATAAATTAAGATGACTTCGTAGCATCCAATTCATAATTCCAATGGACAAATCTATTAAATTGTCCTAGTATGGTAACTGAGATTGCACGTTGCATTATATCATAATGTGGTTTATTGGATTTAATGAAACACAGTGAAAGTGTGGCTGTTGCAGTTTATTGTAGTTTTGATAAGAAATGCACAATTATATGCAATGACTAATTTTACTAAGCTAAATAGTTGATGGTAAAATTATGCCATCTTTCCCTCTGTTTGCGTGTTCATGAGCCTACATAAGATGAAGTGAGCTTTAAACAATCTGAAGCAAGTCATAGGGGTTATGTAGGAGGGAGGAAATAATTTCAAACCAGGCACACTTCCATTTAATTTTAGGCAATTTCCCCTCTGTCCAGTATAACCCTCAGTCACCTCTTAGATTTTGCAAAACTCTCTCAATTCTCCAGAGACGTTTTTGGAAATGCAAGTACATTGGGGGGTGGAACAGGGAGAAAGATGGATAGCTATGCAGGGCATATGAGTTTTCCCTTTGTTTACTTTTTTGTATAATGATCTAAAATATTGTTAATGTGACATATTTCATTATTGTCAAGTTGCATAAGATTTTATTGGGGGAGAGGTAAGAAAATATCTGTTCTTTAAAATAATGCACATAATCATTAGATACGAATCTGAACACGTGCCCAATTTTGGTTTAATCCCTCTACACAATACCAGTACTTACATTGAAGCTGTTTCTGTATATAATTCATCCTCTGGAGAACAGACAACAATATATATCACAAGGTAAAATTGTAGAAAATTTGAATAATAATAAATGGACATGTATTAAAGTAACAATCATGCCTAAATACCATCATGTGTTAAAAAGAGAGATTAAATAGTAACCAACTATTCTTGACTCAGATGCCATTTTAAGCATTTTTTTTATTAAAAAAAGAATCCATTTATATGGGTAAACTTAATTTAAAAATCTTTCATTGAAAAGCTTCAAAAACAAGATAATTAAGTATCTGTGTGTATACACTCTCTCGCACCCAAAGTTCCAAACACACACACAGAGAGAGAACTTCTTAATATTATAGCTGTTAGTAGTAAGTGTATTTATCTCCCAGGTAACTAGGCTGGTTGCATGTAATTTACTTTTTAATCCAGAGTTTACTTTCAATTGCATTTGACAGAAATAGAAGTAAAGGACAAGGGATCAGTATATACCAAGTTTATTTTTCCCTAGTGATTTCAATTCTCTCCATAACCTCAGTATAACATCTGATAATTTTGCTTGTGAGAGGTTGCCAACATTTTAATACAAGTGTTGAGGCTAACAGAAATATGGAAATATTAGTATAATTCAAAATTAATCAGCTCTGCTATAGGAAATTATATAGCTACAAAGGTTAAAAAAAAGTAATGTTACCGGGATTGCAGTCCCTATATGACACTTTAAAATTGCTACTTGTTACTTAGATATTTTCCTATAAAACTAAATTTCTCTTGTCAAGGAGTCAGGACACAGTAAATTCAGATGCTAAGCCCATGATGGTGAACCTATGGCATGAGTGCCGGAAGGGGCATGCTGAGCCACTTCTGCCGGCATGTGAGAGGTTGCCCGGAAGAGCCCCACTGCGCATGCATGCACGCCCCTGCCAGCCAGCTGATTGTCGGGTATCTGCCGTGTAGGCCTGGGGGGGAATGCACACGTGCATGTGCAGAGGCATGCAGCATGTGGGGGGCTGCATGCATATGTGCAGAGGCGTGTGGTGCAGGGGGTCGTGCACACATGTGCAGAGGTGCACAGTGCATGTGCAGGGGGGTCATGCGTGCATGCAAGGGGGCGGGGGGAGTCACATCATGGGTGCAGGCACACGAGTGAATGCATGCATGCACACGTGTGCACACACAAGCACTTTTGGCATGCAACGTGGAAAACGTTAGCCATCACTGTGCTAAGCCATTGACATATATGGACAGCTATAATAGTGATTTTTGCTAGAATTCCTGTCAATAAGATCTTTCCTTAGCAAGATAAAATCAGATCACCATAGAAGTGTTTTTTTTAAATATATATAGATATGTTGAAATTGAAATTGACCCTTACCATGAGTTTTAGAAAAATCCCCATGTTTATCTGTGCACCATGAAAATATGAATTGCCAGGGACAGCACAATTAAAACGTATTGCCGTTCATTTCTTTTACCCGTTATCCTCTTTTGTTTTTGCTTTGCATGCTGTTTCAAGACTGTCCCTTGTGGCTGCTTTTCCACTGAAGAGGACAGTGGAATGGCTATCTGGAGAATTAGTTTGATGTCACAGTTTTATCATCTCTGGATGTTCATTAGCTTCCGTCTCAGAAGAGCAATATGCTCATGCTTTTTAAAATTCTGATCTTGTGACTGGAAATAAGACATCAGAGCTCTCATCAAGTGTTAAATCCATCTGAGTGTCCCTGTGTTGGCTTGTAACATGTCAGAGTATGTTTGTATAATTGTTTGTATGTGACAGTGTGTATATAAAATTAAACTTCGAAAAAGAAAACATAAATGAATTCAAATTAAGGAAGAAAATAAGATAAAAGAAAGAAAATAAGATGAAAAAGTGGAAGAAAAGGAAAAGGTTGAAGAAAAATAGAAAAGAAAGAAAAAACATTTTAAGATGTGGCATCTGTAAATATTTCAAAGATTGAAGTACACAGAAGAAATCCAAGGAAAGTCTTCCTGAGAAATTTTGAACTTCAAAATAGGTTCCAACTTTGAATTGGTATGTTAAAAGATGCTACTGGACAAATACCAACCGATTCAAAGAAAATCAAACAAAGATGGAAAGAATATGCTGAATTTCTGTAGAGTAGAGATGTCAATATTCAAGATTTATTTCCTATGTACAAGGGTCTCTACTACTGGAAGAGAAAGTTAGATCAGTACTCCAATGATTGCCAAGTCAGAAAGCTTACAGGAATGAGTATCTACAGAAATATGGCAAGTCACGGAAGAATCCTCAACTTATGACCACAATTGAGCCCAATATTTCTCTTGCTAAGTGAGAAAGTTAAGTGTTTTAGCCCATTTTACGACCATCCTTGTCACAGCTGTTAAGTGAATCACTGCCATTGTTAAGTTAGTAACACAGTTGTTAAATGAATCTGGCTTCCCCATTGACTTTGTTTGTCAGAAGGTCACAAAAGATGATCACATGACCCTTCCCCAGGACACTGCAACCATCATAAACACGAGTCAGTTGGCAAACGTCTGAATTTCAATTGCATGACCATAGGGAGGCTGCAACAGTTGTGCGAAAAAGTCATGTCATTTTTTTTCCAGTGCTGTTGTAACTTTGAATGGTCACTAAAAGAATAGTTGTAGGTCAAGGATGTAGTAAAATAGAATAGAATTCTTTATTGGCCAAGTGTGATTGGACACAAAAGGAATTTGTCTTGGTGCAAATGCTCTCAGTGTACATAAAAGATACATTAGTCAAGAAGTAGAAGTTCTAATCAAGCTATGCCAGCAAATCTGGAGACTGATACAGTGGCCAACTGATTGGAAAGTCCACCTACATACCGATTGCAAAAAAGAGACTTAATAGATGTGCAAATTTGTATGATACTCTTAATTCCACATGCCAGCAAAATACATGTTGGAGAGCCCTACAAGGAAACTGAATTTACAAAATACTAAGGAACCTAAGACATCATCGCTAAGGTGTGTTTGATAATTATGCAAGCCAAACAATAACAAACAAAAAAGTCAGTGTGTGTTTCAATGATTATAGAAAGGTGTTTGTGACAATTATGGCAAGTTGTGGAATGTCCTTGGAAAAATGGAAATACAAAAACATCTCATTGTCGTTATGCAAAATCTGTACACAGGTAAGGTAACCACAGTTGAGAACATGGCAATACAGAGGGGCAAAGACTGAGACGAGGCTGTGAACAGCCAATAAATAAGTAAATAGTTAATAAATAAAATTGCTAGGTCTGTGTTACCTTATTGGATAGGCATGATTTGTGTTTTTCTACTGATAATAATCATTTTAATTGGAATATCTTGGAATATCCAATGTTTTTCTTGGCATAACTGTACTTTTTTGCTCTAGAAATTCAGTGAAACAGAAATGGCATTGCTTATCATCTATTTTAATATTTCGGTTTGGAATTCTGGTAAAGAATAAACCAGGGGTGCCTTCCAATAGCTCAAATGAGCCTTTCCAATCTGTGGGTTTCCAAATATGTTGTGCTACAACCCCACCATTCTTCAACATGGCTGAGAAATTTAGATGAAGTAGAAGTAGTCAAACTCACATTGTCACAGTGGTGCCACGTGACGTATCGGGACTTTTTTCCTTTGCTAAACCGGACGTGGGTGTAGCCAGCCAGAGTTTGACAGCCCTGAGTTAGATGGTCTGATTTGGCAGCCCTAGATAGCGGGCCTTTTCTGCTGTGGAGCCCACAGATCATGACTCAGAAATACCCAAAAATACAACATTCAGACCAATTTGCATCTCATGAAAAGGTATTTGAAGACTTGACAGACAAGCACAACTCAAAACATACCAACGTCTCCTCAAATGGTGATGAAACATTTGCAACCAAATTGCCAAGCTCAGAGCTCAAACCAGCAGCCTAATTGTGGAATCTTCTCTGCTCCCAGAGATGAGGTCAGCGTCATCCATCTTGAGCTTTTGAAGGCATCTCAAGACCTGGTTATACTAGCAGAGCTGAGGAACCCAGGGGATGAGTGAACCCTATGAGGGGGCTTTATTATTCTCAACTTCCCTCTTACTATTCTTCTTTAGTTCTGCTTTTATAGTTTTTAATGTTTTACATAACAATTGCTTTATATTTATTAATTATTGTACGCCAGTCAGAATCACTACAGGCTTTCTATAAGGTGGGTGCCTGTATAAATTTGATTAATAAATAAATGAACGGTGGTTCAAGGCAGAAGAGCACCAGGTTGGTAAAGCAAGTCATATTGCATGGGAAATGCAGCTTTTTGTATTTCCCTGAAAAATATAGCACCATCATGCCTGTCATTCTTCACTGCTTGAAAAGAATTGAAGAGTCATAGGACTTGAAGAGACCTTGGAGATCATCTAATCCACCCCACCTTGCCCAAAGCAGAATTATACCACCTGAGGCAAATTGTTGTTTAATCTTTTCTTGAAAATGTCCAGCAACGAAGAAAAAGAAACCTTTTAATTTTTTCAATACCATAATTGTGAAATGGAAGCCAGAATTCTCAAATTAACTTGCATTATATCACTTACTGTACGTTACCCTGCTAGGACAATCAACCTAAGACACAAAAGTCACTCCTGCTCCTCTGTATACGTCAAACGGGGTTCTTAAAATGCTGTATTTGTATTGTTTGCGAGGAGTTTTCCATGAATCTTTTATAAGATTTACTGTAGAGCCACACATATCTGCTCCAGCCTGCTTAGGGAATCAACTTTGGACTTTGGTGCCTAGAATGATATGTTTGCTTGGCATCTTGAAAATAATGACATATTAATTTCCCCTACGAGGCACCACAGTCTATTTGCTTTGGAAAGTTTTGGGCAATTACTTGATTTTCTCTGAGCGTGTTTTCCTCTTGCAAAGCAATCTGGGAAAATACTCTGTGGGTATTTTCACCTTCAAATGTGTCAAATTTGAAATGCACTGTATACCCCTCACAATTACCATTCCAGATATATGAATTAAAACCCATTCTTTCTACAGCAGTGAACCCCAAGATATTTTCCACATTTATGTGGGTTAACTGCGTTGTAATCTCCTTCATTTTAATACTTGAAAAAAATATCCAAGAGTAATTTGTGTATTAAAAAGTATTAAAGTGAAGTGACAAGTCAGAAATAATGGATGCACCATACCCCACCAAGTCTGTTAAGCAATGTGAAATAGCCATACAACAAGTCAAAGGATGAGTATTTATTAGATGGATAACCAGTCCTCATGGAAAAGTTCATCACTATTAAATGGAGTTGGTTAAAAATTGGAATTTCTCATTTCTTTTTCTTTGATTTGGGTTGTCACCAAACATTTTAACAAATGAAAGTTACAATTCTCTTAGAAAATACCAAGCTGCTTATCAAAATATAGAAAGCTTAGGAAGGAGGACATCAAAGACCATTTTATGGGTCCTTTCCAGCATTACTCTTTACTTACATATAAGTTGTCCATATATGTAGTTTCTCATGTTAAATATGAGGAAGAAGTGATTCAACTACTTTTCTGCAAGCAGGGAATTTTTGAGGTGGGGAATTAGTTCCTATCCACAATCAATTCAAATGCTACTTTTTGAGATCACCTGGCAAAGTTCTGTGCCGCAAAAATAACATTTGAAAATCTGAGTTGCATAGGGGGTGCAATTAAATCCTAACAAATCACGGTATGCCTATCCAATATTATATGAATGATAGCGATGTCTCCATTTAGTGAAAGCAGCAATATTTCATTGAGCATATAGCTGTCCAAACCAAACCTTGTACACATCTCCCAAATAATTGTTATTGAAGCATATAAGATAGGACAGTGGATAATAGAAGCCTCAATTGTCCTGCCCTTTTTAAAATAAAAAAAACCTCTCAATTTAAACCAAGTCCATTCAGCCTTTTTTCCAGACATTGTCCTGGTTTAATATTCGAAAGTCAGCATTCCAAGTTTTTTTACTTGCAAGGCTTCAAAGGAGAGTAACTATAGTACAAAGCAAGGCACTAGAATCAAAGTTGTTTACTTGGAAAACTTGATATCAAAAAAAGCAGAAGACAACATGTTTTATCCATACATCACTCAATAACCCATCATTGTGAGGCCACATCTCCAGAATGAATATGGCACTGTCTGAGGGATAGTTCCAGCATGCCAAACCTCAAGAGATGTCTCTTCCATCACATAGGCCAAAATGTAGGATGGCAGATTTTTCCAGCATAGCTCAGTCCAGGATGGGAATCACCCACCAATACATATATATATATATATATATATGCTGGTGATGCTTCAATTTAAACACACCACCTTCACCTTAAGCCCAGGAGAATAGCAGAATACTTCCCTTTCATTTCACTAGCAGAATACTTCCCTTTCATTTCACTGGGAAATATTATTTTTCATTTATACAAGCAGCTACTTAATTGGGGGGGGGGGGAGAGCAAATTAAAACAATTTCTTCCTTGCCACATTTAAATGCGCATTATGTATAAATTGGGGAAGGGAGGAAGCAGCACTTTCTTATGAACTATTGTTTGCTCTTTTGCTCTGCTAATCGATTCTTCTAAATCAATAAGGTACTAGATGTGACATAATTTGAGTAATGGCTTTATATTTAGATATATATTTATATTTATATATATTTATATATAAATGTTTTGCATATTTTGAACCGAAAATATATGTTACAGACCATACACATATAAAATATGAAGCACTTAAAAATGTGATTAAAATGTCTAAATGATTCAACAGGGGAAAGAAACAGAACCAATTCTGATTATATGATATTACGAAAAAGAGACTGTAAGTGATAGAAGCTACATAAAAATAAACTTTAACTATATGCACTTTTCTCAGTTTTTTAAAAACTGTTAAATGCACCAGTAATAAATAAAATCTGCATGTTTCCTTATCAACAATTCCTAGTGTCCAGCCTTACTGTAAACAGTACACATATGTAAAATGCAGCTTAACAAAATAAAAAGAGAAAGAGAAGAGTCAGTTATGGGTTCAGTTGCCCAAACTGATTTCTTAATATCCAAAAAACATAGATCAAGGTGTATAAAGCCAATCCCATTTTTGGCAAGTCAGTTCCTTAAAATTAAAACTGTAACAGTGCAAGGAAGGAATGCAAGGAATCCCTTAGTGCAACAAAGAAGAGACACGCAGGCAAAGTTGTGGATTGAAATTATCCAGTTCAATGTATCAAAGTTGGGAGCATTAAACAGACAATTTTCTGAATTTAAAAAAAAATTAAAAGCCATGGTTCTAATGCCCCGATTTTGTCTTAGGACTCCTTTGTCTTCTTCTTCCATAGGCCACCAGAGATTCAGCTTGAAGTCTTTAATGATTGGCCATTTGCAAAAATGCCATGGCAGACGCTAATTAAGATTTGCATGGCTCTGTTTCCTCTCTAAATGGCTGGTTTGGGTATACAACTGTGCCAATGCCTGAAGTCCCTTGGAACCAAATCCCAGCAAGTTGTATGTCCTTCTTTGTGTCTGCCAGCATTGTGGCTTTTTTTTTTTTAATCAACAGTCAGATTTGAGCTTGTCCAAGGAATTATCAATTTTGGTCAACGTCTTTTTGATACGCAAAGCTGTTAATCTTGCCGATGGATTGTGGTACCAGCATTCTTTCATGAGCTTAGCAAGCGAAGTTAATGTCTAAAAAGGTAAGCACAGAAATATATATTCAGAGTAGAATATTTTGAGGGCCCTGCTCCAACCCACATTGATTATCACTGCTCTGTTTGCACCTTGGAAAACAATTGCTGACCAAACAATATACAGAAAACAGCAGTGGTTTCAAACCGCAGTTTGAGGCTTAAACTATTGTTTGTATGCTTAGTAATCATTTCTATAAACCAGTCTGATCCACAGTGGGACATCTACAGTAACCAGTTTCAAACACTGAAGCTAGTTCACACACACAAATGATCAGTGGTGGCTGATGACTTTCTAATTCCATGTGTGTCTAATCACACTTGGTCAATTCAATTCATTTAGTACACCCCAATCCCACTAAAAGACATGATGAAAATATAATATGGAAAAACATTAAAAAGCATTGTGTCCCCATCCCCCCAAGTTCATATTGAACTGGAAGGTACAATCAGGAAGATCAAGAGCGGTCTCTTGCTCTTTTTAAAAGAAAACTAAGTGGCCTGACCACTTTGCCCTATGGAAAAATAATTCAAACCTGTTGGGAACTTTACAAGTGACCTTTTTGGTTCAATACCAGCCTAAAAGCTTGTTTCTTTCTCTGTTTGGTCTTCCACACTTTCTATCTACAGTACTCATGAATAACTTCTTTAATTTCAAAAGTTGCTTCAATATTTAAAGCAAAGAAGCAATAATGGAGGTTTCAGCTATCCCTGAGTATCAAATGCCTCTCCAAAGAGCTTCTAAAAGCTTCTTAATGCTATGGGGAAGGAGAAGAGGTCACTGCTAGGAAGAGAAGATGCAAAACAGGGGAAGAGTTGCACACAGATATACTGAAGCCAGAAGGTGATATAACTGAGCAGCCCTTAATTGCTGTGAAGCGTACTTCCTTTAGTTCTGTGGTCTCAGGACAACTGGTGGCTGGAGCGAAAAGTTCAAGGTTTTTATAACAGCTTCATATCTTTGGTTGACAAACTGAGTCCAGGATGGTTTTCACCCGATCAAGATCCTTCCTCTTTCTGCCCAATAGATTATGCCAGTGGTGTATTAACCATGAAGCAGACTAAGCACGTGCTTAGGGCACCAGGCCCAAAGGGGGCACCACAAAATTGAGAATATGGCTTCGTGTGTACAGTATGTACAAAGGAGGGGGGCACCAAGATTTTTCAGTGCTTAGGGCACCAGTGAGTCTTAATCTGCCACTGGATTATGCCTTCGTTTGGCTCTGCGGGGCCACTCAATGGAAAGCTCCCTCCCTGACCTTAGATAAGTATATTCTGTTTCCACTCTAGAATTTGTAAATATTTAGGGTAAAAAAAACTACTATGCAGTCCTAGGGTTGATAGGCTATAGGTCTCTTCTGATTATATCAAGAGCTTGTTAATGATGTTTTATACTGGGAGAAGCAACAATGTATGTGTTTTTTAAAACATGTATGTTCTTTTAAAAGTTTTTTTTCAATTTTTCTTAAAGATGATTTCGCTTGCAAGTTTTTCTCTTCTAGTACTTAACTGTGTGTGTAGAACGGTTGTTTCTACAATGACTTTTCATATGCCCCCCCCACCACCACCACTTTTGCCAATTTAAATATAAACAGACTGGCAAGTACCAGAAGTGAGAGCTGCAGCCAATACTTCCCCATATTCTTTGCACTTTCATCCAAATCCCTCGTATTCCAGACAGCCTCTAGACCCAAGTAAAACTGCTACAGGTGAACAGATTTCAGGGGTGAGAGGTTCAGCTCCTGTGCCCACATGCCTATTTTATTGTAAAAATATGGCCACCTCCTGCTGTATTATGAATAGGAAAAATGGATGATTAAACAAATGTAATTACTGCTGCCACATCTAGTTTGGCCTATAGTCTAAACAGCAGATGGTTTTAACAATTCTTAACAGACGATCGAGTAGAAAATATATCAACCCATTTCAGCAAGTGCACTTACAGGGTCTGAAAACCATCTGTTGGGAATATTTGGCCTCTGCTGATCCACACAAACTACTTTTTTCATGTCTTCAAAACTAGGATCGTTAGGAACAACATCATAAAATGGAGGTTTGTAGTCTTCAACTATACCTGCGACCGAAAACACAAGGGATATGTTATATTGCACCAATATATATTTAAGATGTTCACTAGCAATACAAAGTTCACATATTGTTACCAAGGGATTAAACTTTGCCAATTGGAAGCTTTTGTGACATTTCACTGATATTGTGAAATGGAATCCTAAAAGCACAACACAACCAAAGCATTAAATCAACTAAGTCTCCCCATGGACTAGAAAAAAGTTTAACTCTGTAAACACATACATGTACAGAAAACAAATCATATGTATGGCAAAGCAGCAAAACTATTATGGATTTGGAAAGAGGAAAAACTTGGCATTTCTTTATACTTTATATTTTCACATGTTTGGCACTCACTATCCAGACCCAAACTAGCTAGCACGGACTTGCTGGGTAGGACAGTAGGTTTATAAGAATAGGATGAAGTCAGTGTAAGATTAATTGAGCTCTTCCCCAAAAGAACAAGTCTGAAATCCAGAACAAGCTGATCACAACTGCCTATAACTAAGTAGGTATTTTACTGTGTGATACATCATCAAGGCCCTTGGATAATGCTGGTGTTGCTTCTTGGTGGAATGGCAATAACCAGCTGCAACAATACAAGAGCACACAACAGATACAAACTCAATGTAAACCACTCCAAACTTGATTGCAGAAAGTACGACTTCAGCCACAGATTGGTCAATGCCTGGAATGCACTACCTGACTCTGTTGTTATATCCTCAAATCCGTACTCCTTTACCCTTAAACTATCCACTATTGACCTAAAGGGCATGCATAAGCACACAATTGTACCTACTGTCCCTGTCCTATTGTCCCCATTTATTCGTACCTATTTCCTGTATTCTTACTCGTGTTTATTCTTATATCTATTATCTTGTAAGCGATTGGCAAATCAAATAAATCAAATTTAAAAAAAATACAACTGACTTGTGTGTGTGTGTGGGGGGGTCCTCAGCACTTATGGCTACTGATGGATAGCAGGTGCAGATGGTAGCCATAAGGATTTTTGCCCATCTTGAAACGAGAGGGCCTCGCCCGAATCACCCCTTGTTTAGATTACTTCAAGGTACCCTAAATAGGGATACCTCTGAAAATGACTTTGAAGCTGCAAGCAGTCCTCTATTGAGCACTACTGTTCTTGATTCATGTACATCAGTATAAGCTGTAGCACTGGCACGGATTAGTTTTTGGGTACAACGGTTTTAACTTATAAAACCCTTTATGGCTTGGCACCAAGACACTTTGCAACACCATCTTTTCCAGCCAAATTCAATCTGCTTGAATTATCCAATCTGAGAGAAACTATTGGTTCTCTATTTCTCAAGGGGAGGGGAGGCCGTGAGACTCACAGGCATGGCTTCTCAGTAAGTATGCTTATGTTTATGAGAGTCACCCTCTGGAAATCTGACTAGCTCCCACACTGGCCTTTCTGTAAGTGGTTTTTTTTTAAAAAAAACAGAACTGTTATGAAGAGTGAAGGGATGCCATCAATATTGTTGATGGAATTCTTGTACTGCTGCGATTTGATTTTTTATGATTTATCTGTTTTAAATTTTATTGTACTGTTCCCTTCATGTCTATAGTTAACTGTTAAAAAGAGTTTTTTGAGATACTTATGAGAGTGTGTTAAGAGTCTTTCAATTGTGGATAAAAGACACCCCCCTCCTCAAATAAATAACATCATTTTGCACTTTTGCACTATATATTTTAATTGCAGAAGTATTCAGAACAACTTGGGTATATGTTCCAATCCAACATTCCATTTCTTCATTTTGATCCCATTAAGAATTGGTCATGCACAACTATTATTAAAATAAGAGAGAATAACAAGTTTCTGGAGGAAATTTTCATATCAAGTAGGTGTTTTATTTTAGAAATATAAATGTGGCAATTTAACATTAGAAATTATCTAGCATTAAGCACATGTACGTACGCACACACTCACACACACACACGCACACACAGAGACACACTTACTTGCCATGAAATTTTTAGTCTGCCATTAGTTTGTATCTTTTAAGAAAACCTTCTTTTTTAAAAAATCTTATCTGCCATTAGAATTTTATTATACAAGTTTTTAAAAAGCAATACAGAAAGCCTATTTTATCTGGCAGTTATAATTATATTTCTGTATTTTAAAATTCACACATTTGGATTTGCTTCATTCTGAAAGTGATTACTTCTCTCAAATACAAATCGTTTGGCTATGAGAAATATAAGCCAAAACCCACAAAAAAGCAAGTTGTTTATTAGCCCAAATGAATCTTTACAACACAGTTGCAAAATTTTCAAGTTTCCAAGGTTTCATTAGACCTAAAGATTAAAACCCAGGAAAAAAACAGACAGGGGGGAAAGGAATGGGCCTGGCCCTCCTGCCATCAGATGAACAGCCTTGAGAAATGCCCGTTACTATTAAGTTTCCTCAGCCTTGATCTTCCAGAAATATCCTACCAGTACAGTCTCTGACTGGAGGATACCCTATACCTGTGATGGCGAACCAATGGCACATATGCCAGAGGTGGCACTCTGTGGGCACGTGTGCCATCGCCAGCTGCTGTTCCAGTTTCCGGAGCATGCATGTACACTGGCCAGCTAGTCTTCGCGGATGCTAGAGTGCCGGAAACCTGAAGACCAGCTGACCCAGTGCACATGCGTGTGCCAGAAACCAGAAGACCAACTGGCCAGCCAACGCATGCGCAGCGGGCCAGCTGGTCTTCGGGTTTACAGCACTCCAGCGTGCATGCATGTGTTCCAGTTTGGGCACTTGGTGCCAAAAAGGTTTGCCATCACTGCCCTACACCCTTATCCTAATCATATGAGGGACAGGAAGGAAGCCAATATTCACCACGGCCTGCCAATTTGGAAAAAAAAACCTTTTCAAATATTCAAATCAAAACCTTTCCCAGACTTTGCAAGACACAGCCATCATTTGGCAGAGAGATTCAGTCACTGCTTCTGTTCACGGAGAACAGATTGTTATAGACACCGCTGGAGGCAACAGCTGGGAAAGTCTGCTCAATGGAGGACTTCGATTTATAGACCCAAATAACTATTTGTATGTTATAAGCTGAATATAGAAACATAGAAAACTGATGGCAAAAAAAACAAAACAACAGCCAGTGGTCCATTGATTCTGCACTTTGAATTTTTTGTTTTCTTTCGGAGCTTATTTATTTAAAGTTTAATTTTTGTCAGATGGTAGACTTGCATTTAGCCCAAGCATGTTTAAAATTCCGTTAAATATGACTGACTCACTACACCTCTCCTGGAAGTTAGTTCCAAGCTTCTACTACTCTTTTTGTGAATATATTACAATACAAGAACCTGTTGTCTGGCTTTTACTCCAATGTATTTTTTTTTTAAATTAAGAAGACAATTAATGTAATAAAAATTTCATGAACCCACCCAGGGGACTGCAGCTGATTCCAGAGGCACTGAAGAAGGGCAATATTAACCTCTGCCTTAATACTATCCCAATGAACTTTGATCCAATTTCTTTTTCATTTCCCCAGAAAAAAGAAAATACTTTAACGAGAACTGTCCTTCAACTTATAAAATAAAGTAATAAATAAAGATAGGGGACTTCTGATGCTAACATCAACCTCCCTTAGCTTGATCCTGCAATCCAACAAAGCTACACTTTGCACTGAACTGTGGGGAAAAAAGCTTATTTTGAATTTACAATTCATCAAATTCAGGGTAATGTTATTGTGCAGTGAAAGGGGACACAAATGCCGTTTTCCAGGTTATTTCTAACCCTACCTTCAGCCAGTGACCTTTCTTCCCTAAATAGAAAGGTGAAAAGCCTTTTATTAATCTTTCCCCCTGATTTAAGATGTCCCCATGTTACCAATCATTCTGGTCTGATATCTTTTGCCTCTAATGTTGTCCCTTCGCAGCACAGCTGAAGAGCTCACAAAAGGAGCAAACCTCTGAGTGGTTCTGTATTTGTGTCACCAAAAATGATAAATTGGTTCTCAACTGTATCCTGCTTTACACTGCTTAAAATGTTTAATAGAGCCATTGACTTTAATAGAGCCGTTGTCCAATCAGAAACAGCCTCTGGATTTTGCTTGAAATTTAGCAAGCAAATTTATTCTCGCATCATGACAAACAACATCTTTTAAGATCGTTTGTGAAACCAACTACAGGGACAGTATAAATTCTAGCAAGTGGGCTAAGTTTGTGCCTGTTTACAGAGTAGACACTTGCAGAAGCTAGCAGCCCTTGGCCAACCTTCTCTGTGCTCAAAAGCGAAACAGTGAGCAACTTTCTTATTTATGCTTGTTTGTCACCCATTTTAAACAGCTCACAATTACAGAAAAGTAAAAACAAAAACAAAATCCAAATAATCAATTCATATCCCACAAAACGCTACTTCTGCTGTTGCCTAATTAGATGTCTGTGAAGATTCTCAATCATCCAGGTTGTCACAAAGGTGCTTCTTTCCCCCCCCCCAAGAGGCAACTGGACTTTCTGTTTTTTTCTTTGAAGAAGTTTCGCTTCTCATCCAAGAAGCTTCTTCAGCTCTGACTGACTGACCATCCAGTCAAAAGCTGAAGAAGCTTCTTGGATGAGAAACGAAACGTCTTCAAAGAAAAACCAGAAAGTCCAGTGGTCTCTTGAAAAAGCACCTTTGAGTGGCCTAATTAGGTGCTACTTCTCTGAAGGCCTTTCAGAAGACCATCTTTTTGCAGTCTTTCTAAACATCAATGGGGGGGGGGGGGGCGTGTCATCTTGACCTCAGAAGGAAAGCTAGTCCAAAGAAAGAAGGCCATCCTCCATCTTGCTCCCTTCAGGGTGTGGACACCAATAGCATTTTCTCCCAGCTGGCCCTTATTGGGCAGGAAGATTTTGCCATCCCAGATATATAGCAAGTAGGCTATGGGACATATGGGACATCTTATTAGCCTATACAGGTAATCAGCACTTTGAGTTGGGCCCAGAAGCCACCCAGCAACTAATATAATTCCCACAATGTAAGCAATCCAAGCAAGCAGTTGCCTTTGTACCAGCTACAGTTTTCCGGGTTATATTTGGGGACAACCCCCTGCACAGCAAATTGCGATAGTCTAACAAGGATATGACAAGGATAAGAGACATTACCTTCAGTACTTCCTGGTCCAAGAAGGTCTGCCACAGCTGAGAAACCTAACAGCAACTTATTAATTTATGTATTTATTTTCTGTAGCCAGGTGCACTTGATACATTTATGGCATCATTCTAGATCACTCTTTATCTGCTACAGTTCCTCAATAAGCGAACAATTATTGTTGCTGTTGTTATTTAAATAACAATTTTTTAACTAGTCTCTCATGGAAGAAGTTCTCATAGAGCCCTAAAGTTCCACAGAACAGCCTTGCACTAGAAATGAAGATTTCTTGCTTCCGTATGAATTTGTCTGGCCTGTAAGAGCTGGAGGACATCTTGGTGAAATCTTAATATTTGTTACAAGGGGAGCTTTTTCCAGGCTTGTGGAAAGAAGGAGGAGAAATCCTTGAGCTTCATAGAATTTGTTGCTGCCGGAATTACTCATTCCAACTCCTTCAGTTTTCAGGTGTAAAGAAATAAAGATTTGTCTTTCATTCCCCCTTTGCTTTCCCTCCTTTAGCTGATTTTTTTAAACTTTCACTCTTCTGGCTATCTGGTAGCACATACATTTTCAGCATATTTTATCTTGATAGCCAGCTAAATGTGAAGGACCCCTGATAGAGGGAGTAAATAAGAGATTCCAACTTAAGAGTCTATGCAGGGGAGGAAATGTCCGAGGTCAAATCCTTAGGTTTATATCTGCCATTTCCCAAGGGAAGGTAGACAGTCTGGTGACATTCTTATAATAGAGGCGATCAACAATAGAACAGCTGTTTACACAAGTCATTCTGGTTGCTCGAACAGGACATGAAAGGGCTTTTAAGTGGATAAGCAAAATGAAGGATTTAAACTTTGTAGACTGAACTAAATTCACATTTACCTACCATTGCTAACCATGCGTCTGGCTACTTCCCAGAGGACCAGTCCAAATGCCCAAATATCAACTCTTTTGTAGGAGTCAAAGCAGTCCACCTGAATTGTTTCATCTAAGACTTCTGGGGCCATATAACGCTTGGTACCTACACGGGGGTTGTTCCCAACATCCAGCTGATTGGTACTTTGAGAATGCATGACGGACAGACCTATAATTATAAAGAAAAGTTATTGTGAAGTGTCTCTTTTTTAAAGTTAGATCTATAATAGTTTTAGGAAGGAAAAAAAATCTTGAAGGCATTAGCTGAGTTTGCTGTGACACATATACTTCAGAAATTGAGTGTTTATCATCCCAAAAAAATCCAGGCAGACTCCAGTGGAAAAACAGAAAGAGACCATCAAATGCAGCAGCAATTGAATAGCCCACAGGTACTCAGCCAGAGTCACTACTGTGGAAAGGAATCTGAGCAAGCCTTGGGCTCATACATTGCACTTTCTCTTATCGACTGGTTATAAAAAGCTTCAAAACTTTCCCTTTGAAATTAAGCAGTATTTACTACATGGCTCAAACTCTAAATAACATAGTAAAAAAAAAAAAAAGATAAAGGTTTTCCTGTCAGTCGTGTCTGACTCTAGGGCACAGTGCTAATCTCTGTTTCTTGGATGAGGGAGCCAGCAATGTCCAAAGACATTTTCCATGGTCAAGTGGCCAGCATGGCTATACGCTAAAAGCACACTAGCTTCCCACCAAAGTGGTACCTATTAATCTACTCACATTTGCATACTTTTGGAACTGTTAAGCGGGCAGGATAACAGTAGAAATAAGCAAATTTCAAGCCACAATTGATTTCAGGTGGCTTGTTTTCAACAACCATGATAAATTTTAACTACAGTTTCTGGTCTTTATGCAACACTTTACTATGATAAAAAGACACAAAAATATGACCTTACAATAATCAGGAGGAAGGAAGAGAGCCTGTAACTTTGCCGGTTTTAATAGTCTGTTTTAATAATCCTAACCTTGGCTCAACATTGCATGCTGAGTTGTTATAGGCTTCAAGGAAGCTAGCACAGGGCTCTTCCAACAGTAATTAATTACTGCTATATAAAATGCTGGAAAGGAGTTCAAGGGGTTGAGGTCCAACACACCTGAAGGATATCAGATTGAGAAAGAAATCTCTTGTGACAGACTTCCACATTCGGAAAACAGCACAAGATGCATCCAGGAGCAGCAAAACTTTTGGGTGCTAAGTGCCCTCTAGTGGATGCTGAATCTTCCTAGCTCGCTATCAAGTAACACCAAGGAAAGCATGAATGACGTCCCTTCTATATATACCTCACTCCTTACATAAATCATGTAGCACCTTGATAAACTTTAACCCACTTTAAAGCCTAGAAAGCTCTGTGATTTATATTTACACCTTGAACCTATCTGTTATTACATTTGCTCTTGCTCTTTTATAGTTTTTGGCTGGTTTCTTGGTTTGGCAACCTAGGTACTCTCCCAGCGATAAATTACTCATGCTGGCCATGCGAAAAAGAAAACAGGACGTTACTTACCTAGATCTGCAATGCAACACTGCCCATTTTTCTTAACCAAGATGTTTTTACTCTTCAAGTCCCGGTGAGCAATGGCAGGTTTTCCTTGGGTCCCGAATATCTCACTGTGCAAATGAGCAAGGCCACTAGCTATGGACAAAACTATTCGTAAGCAGCTCACAGTGTCCAATGTTGTCAGCTGCAGGTAGTCATAGAGCGAGCCCATTTCATGATAATGTGTGATTAGCCACAACTGAGTGCTGGAATTCCGTGATGTCATGTCTGAAGCAATAAAACCTGAAGGGGACAGGAACATTCCTAAGAAAGGCAAGTTATCAGATATTTCCTTCTTCATATAATGGTCATCATCATAGAAACCAGGAGTAAGTAACCTTTGATCTCCCCAATGAGTTGGATTTCAGTTCCCATCAAATGAACCCAATATGGTCAATGAGGAGGAACAGAGTTCCAGAACATCTCCAAAACACCAGGTTGTTGGACCCTGAACTAAACTCTTCCCAAACTGCAACATTCCCCATTATCCCTAAAACCAATGAGAACAGAATGTAGGCTGTTCTAAGCACAAAAGGCAAATTCTATTACTCCCTGAACAGACTTCAAAAAAGGTATTAAGTGTTCTCCACTAGTTAGGGCTGAAAATGCTCAAAATATTACTATTTCTTGCTCTTTTCATCAGTACAGGCAGTCTTTATAACAGTTGATTTAGTGACCGTTCGAAGTTAGAACAGTACTGAACGAAGTGACTTATGACCATTTTTCACATTCATAACCATTGCACTATCCCCATGGTCATGATCAAAATTTGGGTGCCTGGCAACCGGTTCATATTTATGACGGTTGCAATGTCCCAGGGTCATGGGATCAATTTTTGCGACCTTCTGATCAGCCAAGTCAATGGAGAAGCCAGATTCACTTAACAATCAGGTTACTAACAATGGCAATGATTCACTTAACAACTGTGGCAAGAAAAGCCGTACAATGGGGCAAAACTCACTTAACAAATGTCTCATTTAGCAACACAAATTCTGGGCTCACTTGTGGTCATAAGTCGAGGACTACCTGTATAATTCCTCTTCTTTTCAAGTGAGCAATTCCTGTGTTAAATGATCATCGGGATGTGCAATGCATTGGAATCAGTTTGGGAAAAGCTTCTTTGGAAACTGCAACAGTACGAATAAACCTAATGCTTGTGACTCATTGAAGCAGCTGCTTCGCTTTCCAAGATGGCCTGTGTAGCAATGAATTCACAGCCAAGTCCCCCTGTGGGCTCTGAAGCAATTTTTCTGAACTGAATCTGAAATCTACAGAATGATGTATTAACCTACTTTAAATGCTAGAACTTGGAGCTCATCTCCCCTGGCAGAAACCCAAGAAAAAAAAATTTTCCCTAGCACCTACAACTTGCCACTAGTGTGGGGAGCTGTTCTCTGCACCAAAACATACACATAGACTACCCAACTCAGCCAACTCTTACATTTGCTTAAGTGCTCAGTTGGAAACACAGCTGAAGCATTTCCCAGAAATGAGAGAAGGCCTGTGTAAGACTAGAAGAATAAGATATTGAACTGGATTTAAAATTTGGGGGGGGAAATAGCTTTGATGAAGCAACTTCCCATATTGACAATGGAAGCTCTAGCCGCAGTTCCACTAGTTACATTTCTTCACTAAAAAGAACGTTACATTAAAAACAAATGTAGGAAGATAACAGGCACATTTAATTCTACCAGATGTACTGAAGGACTCAGATAACAGAAAAGCACTTGAATGCTTCCCCCCAACTCGACCAAGTAAATATAGATTAGCTTTAGCCACCACCACCACACTGAAATATGGAAACAACTGTACATAAAGCACTTCAATATATACTGTATTCTATGCAAATAGCTCCCAACGCATGTATCCCATGTACCCAGCAACATAAAGTCCATCTTATCTCTGCTGCCCCCAGCAATGTACCACTGCAAATCTACCCTATTGTTCCAAGGCTAAGATGTGTGCCCTGGCACTCGTTGGACTAAAGTTAAACCCTGCAGAGGGTTGTGCACAGCTTCACATGACACATCACTACCAAAGAATGCCAAAAGACAACCGCAGACAGAAAGCCTAGAAGGATCAGGTCTGAACTGAGGTGGTACCAAAAACGGAATCAATTCAACAGACCAGCTGGCCTGTGATTAAATTCTGATTTTTCATCCATCTACTCATCTCCAATGGTTAGGGAGGAGACATTCTACTGTATCGCCCAAATACCAAGTATTAAATAAAGGGAAGGAAATGTCTGCAAAGGATAAAACACAGACCTCTAATCTGGGTTTAAAAGATCTGCCTTTGAAACACCACCCTTTATTGGAATGCCACCTAGCAAGCACGGTTGATAAGTCTACTTGGCATTTTGATGGCATTTTATATACTGCAGTTTATTTGCAGCATAAATGCTTTATTCCATTGCAAGTCGGTTTTTTTTTATTTGTAGAATTATACCAAGGTGTCTAAAGTGGCAGGTTTAATTGCTTTCTGCGGGGGATCAGGCCGAAGAATAAATTGCTTCTAAACGAAAAGTTATTCTCTATTATTGGGTCTCATTGAACTTTTTTTTTTTAAATTCCAGCAATTAAATGTACTTCTCTATTTCTTCAAGAAGGACTAAAGAAAATAATGAGTTGGGTGGTCCCGGCAGATTTGGGCTCTCAGTCCATCCACAGAGCTCTCCTCCGATCAGTCCCCCCCCCCCCCCCAAGCAATTGGCATTCTTCTCCCCACCTAAAATATTTTCATGCCTCAGCAACACGGTATTGTATAATTCTGTTTCTCTGAACCAGGACTTTTCATCTCGGGAAGAAAAGATCTTGACAGCAATGCTCTCTCCTTGCCATTGTCCTCGCCAGACTTCTCCGTATCGGCCTTTTCCTAGAAAGCATAAACAAAAGAGATTTATTTATTTTTTTAATCAAAGGAAAAAAAGAGTTTTTTGGGCTTATCGCCCAAACCAGAAATGGTATTCAACATCCCTATTTATGAGCCTTCAAAGGTTACGCTGCTGGATGGAGAGTACGTCTGAATCTCTACCATCTCCTTACGGCAAGGATTCTCAACTTCGCAGGGACCTTAACACCCTCTAAAAAAAAGGGGGCAAATTTGTATGCACCTTATCATCCCATGAATGAAACCAATGATATTAGAACTGAGTCAGAAACAAACCAGTCATCTTTTAGTAGTTAACTTTTCACCCAGAGATCAAATAAACCATAGCGACAGCACTTAAGACTTATATCCCACTTCTCAGTGCTTTACAGTCTCCCTCTCTAAGCGATTTACAGAGTCAGCATATTTGACATCAATGACCATGAAAAAAAACTTTGCCAGTTTACAAAAGGAAGTCTTTTGACTGAAAATAAATGGGAAAAGTCTGGCCTAATGGGAAAGTTCTGGAATATGGATAGAATTTTTGAGACAGCCACTTTCATTTCTACTACTATTACTACTATTATTATTATTGTTGTTGTTGTTGTTGTTGTTGTTGTTGTTGTTGTTATTCTGGACCTTCAATAGCAGCAACATACAAAACCCAAACTTCACAGTTGGCTTACCTAACTAGTGGAAAGGCATTCTGGCTTTGTGTACGCAGTCTGCAACCCTCCTCAAGTGGGCTCACAATACTCACAGCAACAACGCAATGCTTGTTACTCACAGTCTGAATCCTGCTGGCTTATAGGAATAAGGTTCAAGCCTGAAGCTGGGCTAATCTAACTCCGGAGGTAGCTGCATCCCACTCCAGATAAGCTCTCACATGGCTAATTTCAACTGAACTACCATTCCCTTCTATTTAGTAAGCAAATACAAGCAGTCCTTGACTTACAACCACAATTGAGCCCACAATTTAGGTGGCCTCGGTGGCGCAGTGGTTAGAGTGCAGTATTGCAAGCTACTTCTGCTGTCTGCCTGCAATTTGGCAGATCGAATCTCACCAGGTTCAAGGTTGACTCAGCCTCCTTCCTTCCGAGGCGGGTAAAATGTGGACCCAGATTGTTGGGGGAGGGGCAGCATGCTGACTCTGTAAACCGCTTGGAGAGGGCTGTAAAGCACTATAAAGTGGTATATAAGTGAGTGCCATTGCTATTGCTAAGTAAGGCAGTTGTAAAGTGAGTTTTGCCCCATTTTGCAAACATTTCTTCGCACGGTTAAGTAATAACAGCATTGTTAAGTGAATCTGGCTCTCCCCATAGATTTGGCTTGTCAGAAGGTTGCAAAAGGGGATCACGTGATCCTGGGACTCAGTAACTGGTCATAAGTATGAGTCAGATGCCAAGCCAAGCATCTGAATTTGGATCACATGACCATGGGGATGCTGCAATGGTCGTAAGTGTGAAAAATGGTCATAAGTCACTCTTTTCAGTGCCATCGTAACTTTGAACGGTCACTAAATGAACTGTCGTAAGTCGAGGACTATCTGAGACACGAGAAACATTGTGATATTGTCAAACAGCTTGACTTAATTCTGCCTCAACTTTTTGCTTCTAAAACCTGTGGGACTAAGTTCGCTGTAAGTGACTTATAAGAATGTTCTTTCTGTGCCAACTCAGAAAGCTCAAACTGCCCAAGGAGCTGCTGATCCAGTTCTACAGAGGAATGATTGAGTCTGTCATCTGCACCTCTATAACTGTCTGGTTTGGTTCTGCAACCCAAATTGGCCTAATTTGAGGGTGTGGTTTACTGGTCACATGACTGGGTGGGCATGGCTTGCTGGTCATGTGACTGGGTGGGCGTGGCCAGGTGACTGGCAAACCAAATACAAGTGGTCCTCTCACTTAATCATCGGTTGTTTAGCAAGTGTTATAATTTATGACTGGCCTCCCATGAGCTACTTGACCAGTTTTTGGAGTTTTGACAGCTTTAGATCAGGGGTCTAAATCCCACCCCTGCCTGTGTGTGTGAGAGAGGGAGAGAGAGAGGTTGGATCAGATCTCTCTCTCTCTCTCTCTCTCTCCCACCAACGCCAGAAAGCCACCATCAGTCAAAATTCATATTAGTGGTCTCCGGGATTTAAAATTATGAGTTTGGTGGTCCCTGAGATCCAAAAGTTTGGCGACCCCTGATCCAAAGGGATGAGCCTGAGAGAGGGAAAGAGAGAGAGAAAAGAAAGAGAGAAACAAAATAAAGAGAAAAGGGAAAGAAAGGAAAAGGGACAAAGAAAGAAGGGGGGATGGAAGGAAGGGACAGAAAGAAAAAGAAATAAAGAAGGAGGGAGGGAGGGAGGAGAAAGATAATATCTATTCTAGTCCAATCACCTGCTCCAGTAGGGTTAGAAGGGAGTGTGTGTGCGTGTGCGTGTGCGTGTGTGTGTGTTCTCCTTGTAATTCACCAATACATTTTGGTTTTGCCTTCTACAGAATTGGCATTGTAATACATTGGGGAAAAGTAATTTTTTAGGGTGGAGATCTGGTCCAATGGATCCTGTTTAAAGCCTCAACAAAATGTGAGAGCTTCCTGATAGTCTTGACCATGTTGCGTCCACAAAACCTTTAATAGAAGCCAAAGAGGTTTCAATGTGGAAAAGGGCCTCAGTCTAAACTAGGCCTCATTGAATCTGATGCATCAGGTCTCTCTCTTTCTCTCTCTCTCTCCCTCCCTCTCTCCCTCTCAGACTGGCTTTGCTCTACTTTCCCGATGTGCCTGCAGGGCCGGCGCTTCGAACATGTATGTATATATGTGTGTGTGTGTGTGTGTGTGTGTATGTGTGTGTATATATATATATATACACACACACACACACACACACAGAGAGAGAGAGAGAGAGAGAGAGAGAGAGAGAGAGAGAGGCAGGCAGGCAGGCAGGCAGGCAGGCAGGCAGGCAAACAGACAGAACTTTTGGATGGATGGATGGATAGATGGATGGATGGATGGATGGACGGACGGACAGAATGCGACAGTGGCGGCACTTTGGGAAAGCAGTGGCAGCAGCTTTTCCCAACATGCTGCCGCATTCGAGGCACCGGTTCTGGAGCATTACTACAGTCAATGGGTGAAATGCAGGGCCAGCTCCTCGAACACCCCCCTGCCGCCTCTTAGCATCCCCAAGGGGGCCGGCAGGGGGGGGCTAAGAGGCGGCAGGAGGGCATTCGAGGTGCTGGCTGGTCCTGCAGATTCACCCATTGACTAGCACTGCTCCGGAGCCAGCGCCTCCAATGCGGAAGCGGTGGCACGTTACATGCCGCCAGAGCTGCGTTCGACGCGCCGTCCCCCTGCCGCCTCTTAGCGCCCTTCTGCTGGCCCTATTGGGGATGCTAAAAGGTGGCAGGGGGGCGTTTGAGGTGCCGGCCCTGCAGGTTCACCCATTAACTGTAGCACCGCTCCGGAACCGGCGCTTCAATGGGTGAAACTGCAGGGCCAGCTGGCGCCTCGAACGCCCCACCTCCTCTTAGCGCCCCTCTGCCGGCCCCCTTGGGGACACTAAGAGGTGGCAGGGGGACGGTGCATCGAACGCTGCCGCGGCGGCACATAACGTGCCACCGCTTCCGCATCGGAGGCGCCAGCTCTGGAGCAGTGCTAGTCAATGGGTGAACCTGCAGGGCCGGTGCCTCGAACGCCCCCCTGCCGCCTCTTAGCGCCCCCCTGCCAGCCCCCTTGCCTCTTAGTGCCCCCCTAAGGCACCCCCCCAGGGGGCGGTACCACCCACTTTGGGAATCACTGCTATAGAGCACTGCACACCAGAACAACTAGATACAAGGAGTTTTTCCCCCGAATACCATCACTCTGCTAAACAAATAATTCCCTCAACACTGTTCAACTATTACAAAGTCTGCACTACTATTACTGTTAATCTTCTCATCACTCCTTATCGCCCATCCCCTCCCACTTGTGACTGTATGACTGTAACTTTGTCGCTTGTATCCTTATGATTTATATTGACTGTTTCCTAGTATGATTTGATTGCTTTATTGTACCCTATGGCTATTATTAAGTGTCGTACCTGATGATTCTTGACTCTTGACGAATGTATCTTTTCTTTTATGTACCCTGAAAGCATCTGCACCAAGACAAATTCCTTGTGTGTCCAATCACACTTAGCCAATAAAGTATTCTGTTCTGTTGTATTATATCGTATCGTATCGTATTGTATTGTATTATATTGTATTGTATTGTACTGTATTGTATTGTTATTCTATAGGGGTTTTGCACTTATATAGTATGTGATTAAACTCCAGGCATTAATCATGGACAATTACTTCCAGGGTTCTCCAACTCCTATTCCAACATACTTTAGATTGGTCCAAAGCAAATATTCCGTACCCACCGCCGAATTACAGGTAGTCCTCGACTTACAACAGTTCACTTAGTGACCATTCAAAATTACAACGGCATAGAAAGAGTGACTTACGGCCATTTTTCACACTTACGGCTGTTGCAGCATCCCCATGGTCACAGGAGTTACATTTGGAGGCTCGACAACTGACTCACATTTATGACGGATATAGTGTCCTTGTGTCACATTGATCCCCTCTTCTGACAAGCAAAGTTCAAACGGGGGAAACCCGATTCACTTAACAACCGCATTGCTAACTTAACAACGGCAGTGATTCACTTCACAAATGGGGCAAGGAAAGCCGTCAAATGGGGCAAAACTCCCTTAACACGTTTTGTCACTTAGCAGCGGAAAGTTTGGGCTCCGTTTGTGGCCGTTGGGGCTACCTGTATAATCTGCCTTGCCCAATGGAGTTACCTGGAGATTCTGTTTCTTAAAAGGACACCAGCAAAGATTATACAAAAGAATGATACTTATTCCCTTCTGCTTCCCCGAAGGGAACCAAACATGTCTTGAATTAGAAATTGACATAGACTCACAGTGTGTTCCTGGTCAACCTATACAAGTTTAATTCAGTGCAGTGCCACCTGCTCTGTTTCTCAGAAACATACATCTGATTGGAGTCTCCCATTTCTTCATATTTGGCACATGTTCCTCAACAACACATGTGTTTCAAGGAAAAGAGACACGTGACACGCTATGAGGAATTCCTAATACCCAGACGAGACTTCCTATCCAAAAATAGCAACGTAATACAGGCTAACCATTTAGTCTCTATAAACAGATGCTGTCTATCTTAGGAAAAGGCCAAGTTCCAAGCCTCTACGGAGCTGCCGTGGTTTCCTAATATTTTTAGATATAGGTGAGTGCACTGCATATATTTAAAAAGCTAGCTAAGATCACATAAGAACCATCAATTCCTGATGCTATACCCATTCAACTGGTTAAATCATAAAGAATATTTTTTTAAAGTCTTCTTTATGACTTGTCCTCATAAAATGGTAAGTGTCCCTAGTTAATTGCCAAGGCTTAGATATTGTTCATTATATTCAGCAACAAAACCCACCAAAAACTGAAAAAAGTGAAAACATTACTAATAGAGGAAACTGGATGACCTCTGAGTGGATCCCATGAGAGCTGCCATTTGGAAAACCCATGGGAATGGCATCCATGCTACTCCTGCGATTTAAGCACTGAAAACTCCTTTCATTCTTGGGAGGGTGGCAGAAATAATCTTAATTGCACCGGGAAGAATGCAGAAAGGAGGGAGAATGCTGACAGCAATGTCTACTCACCGAACATCTTATGGGGCTGCCCCATAAGAGCATTAGGTGAGTAGACCTGGTTCAGAAAGCAGCTGCACGGGTTAAGTAAGAGCCGTCAGATATTTGAAACATGTAACACCACTGCTACGTGAACTGCATTGGCTGCCAGTGTGTTTCTGCGTGCAATTCATAGCCTTTCATGGCTTGGCACATAGTTTACCTAAGGGACTGTGGACTGTGTTCTCCAAGTCACTTCTACCTGTCCAATTGGGTCCAGCAGAATGGACATTTTACAGATCCCCTCAGCCAAGGAGTGGGCTGGTCGGGCTGGTCAGGAAATGGGCCTTCTCTGCTGTACTCCCTGCCCTCAGGATGATTCCAAGCCTGCTGGCCCTTCATAAATTCCTGATGACTTGGTTATGTACCCAGTCATGGAGGCCCAAGTGTGTTACAGGTTCCATTTCTTGGCTATATCAACCCTCATGGTCATAGTTTTATTCAGTGACCATACTGTATATATTTGTTTTGTATTGTTTTAATTGCCTTTGTGTTTTTTACGATGTACCTGACTTACATACAAATTCTATGTAAATGGATCTCATTCTTAACCCAGGTGACTGTCTCTATTTATTTTAATCAATTTGTAAAGGTGTCCATCTCAACAAGTGGCTCTGGGCAGCAAGCAATAACAAACGGAATCCTAAATACAAACATTAAAATACACAGCAGTAGAGAAAAGCAATACTCAGTAGTAGATTCCTTTCTGTCACTTTTTCCCCTTAAGGCTGAATCTTGCCAGGTTTTTTTTTTTTTTAAGACTTAATTCCCAACACTTCACATTCAGAAAAAGCAGAGAAGAAAAAAATGTTCCATTTTTTTGTCTCGGTAGCCTTATGAAGCAACTTAAAATGGAGGAAGTCCACCATTTGGATCCACTCCATTTGAAAAAAAGTGATCCACCTATATTCATCTAGCACAATCTTCCTTAAGCTAAAAGAAGGGAGATAGAATGGAATAATCTGGACTCTGAGATGACTGCTTTAACAATCCCATTGCTCATAGAGCTATTCTTGAGGAACAAGTCAAATGATGACTAACCTACGCACTCCAACAGGGTAATCTGCCGAGCCACTGTTCTTTGTACCAGGAAAGGCAGCCCTGAGCCGCTCCCAGAGGTACAGGAATGGTCCAACAGGTCCTGTGTAGAAATAACAAGCATTATTAGGGGATTCATTGCAACAGAAGCAAGCATTCGTGCCATTCTATCTTTCCAGGGAACCTTTTTTATTGGACAGATATGGAAATAATATGACTAGTTAAGAGCATTTAGCACTAGGATGGACACCCATCATCCATTGGGTCATCTTTTCAGAGATATTTCCATTCCACAGAAGCAGAATGACCACAGGTGGTCGGCAAAAACGCAGTGACAGTGGGAACAATTTCCAACTGGCTTCCCCAATGAGTTTTGTGAGAAGCTAGCAGGAAACATCAGAAGCTTGCTTGCTTCCTTCCTCCCTCACTGTCTTGAGTGCCAGCTTCCCCATTTACTTTGCTTATGGGAAGCTTGCAGGGAGAAAGTCAGTGGGCAAGTTAGCAGGGTCTGGAAGGATGCATGAGGGTGAGCAAGAGTTGCTGTATGGATCAGGGAAGATGTGCAGAAGGGCAGCACGGGTCAGGAAGGGTCTTTTGGGGAGCGCCAAATGCTCTACATGAGTCAGGGAAGGCATGGGGGGGGGGAGCAGCACAAATCAGGGAAGGTACAGGGGTTTGGCACAGGTCATGTGTGGAATGGGCCAGGAAGGCTGCAGGGAAGTTCCTTTTTCCCTGTTCTTCTCTTTCCCTTCCCTTCCCTTGCCAGCAGACAGGTAAGTGGCTACTGTGGGGTGGGGGTGGGGTGGAGCAAGGGATTGCAAGATTGGCTGGGAAATTGTTACAGAATATTGAAATTGAAGATCATGTGATCCTAACACTGTAACACTGAAGCAGCTACAATTTCACCAAATTTCATTCCCTCAAGAGTCCTTGATTTTGAACACATTCTGTAAGTTAGCCCATTGGAGGTACCCTGATTCAAAAATTGCTGCCCTGTGATGCACCATTTTGCCCAATTAAAGATCATAATGAAAGTTTTAGTAGTATATAAACACTGCAATCTTATACAGGTTTATTGGGAAATAAATTCTACAGAACTCATAAGCCTTAGTACCCTGGTGACAAGTTTGTCTAATTATTTTTCAGTATCTACTGAGTTACTAATCTAATGGACATTCTTGCTAGCTTTGTAATTCATCACAGCTGTAACTAAACTTTCAGTATCATATTACTTCTCTGATTTAAGTATACAGTTTTCATTTCCCGCTTACTAATTTTGAGTCCACAGTTTTTTTCTTTTCTTTTTTACAGAAAACGATGATCTTTCTTAAATGAAAGGAAAGTTTGAGATTTCCCAAAAATTTCCAAACTGCAAACTATATTCCTGTGCAATTGTAGAAAATTACAAACTTATTATATTTTACTGGAAATCTGCCAAATAGAATCACAGTTGCTTTTCACAGATGCTAGATATAGATGATAATGAAATATAACTCTTTCCAATTGTTTATTCAGATTTCAAATGCAAAGCATTACTGAATTCTGAAAACCCTTCCTGTTTAATACAATTTAAAACACTTTAAATCATAAAAACACTGATCACTGTCGTTAGTTTGGAGGATACATATAGAAGTTCTATAACAAATTTTAAAAATATAATTCTATAGAGATATAGAATACACAAGTTATGCTCGGTGTAGTCATGTCAAAATATAAATACTGCAATGTTGCTGTGTCATGTTACCATTTAATAGGGATTTGAATATAATACATATGCTAAGAATCATTAACAAAACAATACTATAAAAGCAAAGCATTGCAGCCTGCTCATCTCCTGCATAAACATGCTTCAAAAATTGCTGGAAGCAACCAACAATACTTTCTATGGTCTAAGAATTCTTGTGAAGCTTCAGTGGAGGTCCTCACATTTCCAGAAGACATTAAGAGGCTGCAGCTTTTCAATAAGACAGTTCTATCTCTCTGTCTGTCCGTCCATCTTCCTACCTACCTACCTGCCTAAACTTACAAAACTGGAACAGCTTTAAAATTAAAATATTTCATACTATATATAAAGTAAAACTAAATGACATCAATGTATTGCTAATACATTGCTAAATGTATTTCATTTACCAAAGTTAGTGAAAGTCCACCTTCTGTTCATCTAAATCATTAATGGTAAATGTTAACTTGATTGATAAAGAAGACATTCTTATTCTTACCATAGGGAGGCATTTAGACATTATTTCTGGAATATTTCTTTTGTTGCTGTATCATTGATATACCCAACAAGCAATTTTAGGTACTATGGAGACAGCGCACGTAGTGAATCTTTTCATATCAACCGCCTCCTTTCAATATGCTTCCATTTTTTTCACACCCACCACAGACAAAAATTATCTGCTCTTGAACCCACGCATCTTCAGCATAAATATGTTACTAAATTTTTCATGTTTTAAATGTCTCAAAAACAAGTTATGCAAGGCCTTCAAATGTTTTGTCGAGATTGCCATTTTATTCAACGGGGTAAAACCAACCTGCCAAATATTCTCATTTAACTCAATGCCCACCCACTTCCAATTACTGTGCTACTTCACTTTCTACATCTGCTTTTTTTTTCTTCCCCCAACACCGCTAGGTATTTTTCCTGTGCCTTTGGACAGTATTTTCTTATTTTGTATTTTGTATTCCGAGGTTGTGCACAACTCTTCATACCAATCTAAATGTGTTTTATACAATTATCCTTTGCTAGGAAATAAATTAAGACTCTCATCTCAAACAGTCCAAAGAACAATCCTGCTAAATCCTCAAGCATGTACGATAATACATTCCCATTCATTCAAGACGTATAAAAGGAGGCTTGCTTTAATAACCACCTAGTTGTCAGGTTTCGATTTAGGAGGTCTGCCAGATAGAAGAGATGCAGTGAATTTCAATGAATATTGTTTCTTGCCCAGTGATTTTTTTTCCCTTAAGAAATATCCATATGGGAGCCCTGAAAGGAATGTTATTCCTGGATTTTATTCTTTTCATTAGATTTGTTTAAAGCTAGCAAAGCTTAACTATTAATGTACTATACACAAAAAGCTGTTTTAAAAAAATCTCAGATGACTTAGACGTGATAGCTCAGAAAACATTTTTGAGTTTAGCATTTTGACAAAAAGTGTTCCTTTTAAAAAATTGTCAAGTCAGAACTGGAGAAAGTATTGACTCAACCTTATGTCATATATAAACCATGTGTTAGTTTAAGTCATATCGACATAGCCACAAGGTGGCAGCAAAGCGATTTATTTGAAAGCAAAGCAGGAAGGGGGAGAAAGTCTTCCTCTGTTAAAAAGAATGGCAAAGGATCAAGGAGTATACAAAAACATTCTCCAAACTGGAGTTAAGTATGCACTGTAACTCTCAAAACAAGCTCTCAATTTTGGGGAGAAATGGGCCAATATTAACCTAAACCCTAATCAAAACTCTCTTAACTGGAACACAACAAACTTGAGTATCTGACCAAGTTAATCTATATTATATTAAGATGGTCTAAAGCTAGATGAGAAATCAGTATACTGGCCTAAAGGGGTAAGTTCCATTCTCCATTGCTGAAACTATCTGGGTGATTTGGATCAGTCGATCTCTTTCTGCCCACACTCTATTGAGGAGAGTTTTGAGGATATAATGTATGCAAATGTAAGATCTTGGAAGAATGATAACATTAATAGTGTTCCTTTAGCCATCCTACGTGTTGCGTTCAGAAAAGACTGAGCTGAAGTCTTCACTCCGGTCCGCGTTTCCAGCGGGAACACGGACCGTTCCTATTGGCTGATGCCGTTGACAGCTGACTATAAAAGGGAGCTGTCAAACAGCATCAGCTGTTGCCCGCCAGGTGGCTGCCCTGTTAGCGCGGCAGTCGCGGCAACCCTTTATTGTTATAATAAAGTTAACAGCTGAAGTTGCTCCATGTTTGCCTCAGTCATTCCGCCGCTCCACAACACTACGTATTTGGCTTTGTTTCATGGAGTGAGACAAAACCTTGCCCAAGATTCTCAGAATTTGCTTGAGCTGCCTTGGGCTTGAACTCAAAAACTTAAATCAGGTCACTTAAATTTTATAGAAATCTTTCTTTTATTCAAAATCATACATTCTCTGAACTAAAAGCAGCAGGTAGCTAACACCAACAATTAGCTGCCAAATAAACCCAAGCAAGGAAATCCAGAGAATTTTTGCCAAGGCTCATTTGCTTCAATCATAGCAAACCGTTCTGTTTAGTGACTGTTCGAAGTTACAATGGCATTGATCAAAATTTGCGTGCTTGGCAACTGGCATGTATTTATAGCAACAGCATATAGACTTATATACCGCTTCACCTTGATTTCCAACTTCTCTAAGCAGTTTACAGTATATTGCCTCCAACAATCTGGGTCTTCATTTTACTGACCTCGGAAGGATAGAGAGCTGAGTCAACCTTGAGCCTGGTGAGACTCAAACTGCCAAACTGCTGGTAGCTGGCAGTCAGCAGAGTTAGCTGCAGTACTGCATTCTAACCACTGCGGCACTGTGACATTTATGAGGGGGACTGGGTCATGCGGTTGCATTTTGTGACCTTGGACAATGGAAATTCTGGTCTCAACTGTGGTCATAAGTTGAGGATTGCTGCAATTTCCCTGTCCTTGGGCCCTGTACTTGGGCCACATTATTGCCTCCAAAATTTCTCAAGCAGAATTCCTCTTCACAAATTGTACCTGGACAGATAAAGACTATGTTCAAAGCCTGTTCTAGACATGCCAATTTGTTATGGAGTCACTTGGCCATTTTCTGGAAGCTTCACAATCAAAAGCATTTATAGGGTTCATCTTTTCTCTGAAAATGGAATACTGTGTAAAAGTTTCTAATTCAAGGGACAAACTTCTGGAAATTGCCAGATCACCCTCAAAATGGACTGTTGGCCAGATTAATCAAGGTCACATGGAACATTCCAGAAATCTCTAGATTGTTCCATTCCCAGAATAATAGATTTTGCAGAGATTTTCTTTCAGCCATGCTTCTCCTTCACCTGCTAGGTGCTGCATGTATGCTTTTTTCCCCCGCCTTCTTAGGAAGGAAGGATATCAGTGGAATTAGCTATGATGTGGAAAAGAGAAACATGCTGGAGCAGGAATCTGCTGGGAATAGGGAGGAATCAAATGTTCAGTTCCCAGAGCGAGCCTTTTTCCCTAGACAGTCATTGTGGCTCCCTGGTTTTCATTAAACAGAATATACCCTGCCTCACAGAAATGTGACTGTGTACACTGTGCAATCTATTCCCTTAAGGACACTTCTGAGATACCTTACAGTAACTATGGAAACACTACCTGTTTGCTGCTTATAACAGCCAACTATGATCACATAAAGTTGCTACAAGAGGAAAGCTGCCTCTACAGGATAAAAAAAAAAATCTGTGGTAAAAAGCATTATTGTTAAAGGTCTCTGTATTCCTTCCATGAAGTTCACAAACTCTTGAGGTTCTAGACCCACTGCTATACGTCAAGCTAGTTCCCACCCCTTTAGAGATATTGTAAGGATTTGTGATGCTACAATTACTTTATTTGTTTGTCAAATCTATATATCATCCACCTTATTATCCAGAGCTATTCTGGGCCACTTGCAACACCTTGTAAGTATAGTTATACGGATATAGTTCCACTGGGAAATTCATAAAGTCAGGAGAAACTCATTTGAATTCACTGCAATTATTTGCATACTAAAACACTATAAACCTGTTAATGGGAGCCAATCCCTCAGTTACTAAAACAGACATATATTGTTTTCCTGTTAATCTTTTAACCTCCTATTTGTTTAATTCTGCTGTGATGTATTTTATACTGCAAAATCTCAGATTAAGGAATTGCCTCCTTGCATTCTGTAAGGCGCTTCACGGCTTGACAATAGGATGTAAAACATAATATGTACATGCATATTGATGAACCAGGTTCACCTGAAATCATCAAGAATGATTACACATTATATGCAACCCAGAATAACTGAAATTTGCCCAATACATTGTACATAATTAAACCTTCCCCACTATGGCTAAGTCTGATGTGGGAAGTTGATCGTTATAAGAAGCATTTTTCCTTCCCACATGATATCATCGATGGCCTTTCATTTTAAAAAATAATTTCATTAATAGATTTTAAGTAGATAATAAAAAATATACTCAAAGAACGAAAAAATAAAACAAGCTGGAAAAAAAAAAAAGAAAAAAGATGGAAAAAGAAGAAATTAAAAATACCAAAACACACACTCTCCCTCCCCCTCCCTCTCATAGATGGATGGAGAGAGAGAGAGAGAGAGAAATATGGGTTCCAATATTCCAGTCAGCAATTACACATACATTCCTAATTAAACCAGGCTCTCATTATAATTCTCTTCTTTCTATATAACCTATTCTTTCTAATCATCAGAAATATAAATCACAAAGTCATTTTCTTTCTCACACAAATAGTCCGTAAGAGGTTTCCAGTCATTGGTGAATATCAGTGATGATCTTTCTCTACACTAAGCCTTTCGTGTCGACTATAGCTCATTCACCTGGAAGTAAGATACATGGGGCTCCATCACAGACAGTCTAATTTTCCTTCATCCACAATTCCTTTCAGTAGCCAGAAACCCCACACGGTTCTCAAGAATATAACAAAATAACAGTTGCAATGGATCTATCCTTCATTATCCTATACCAGGGTGAGCACCCTGAAGGTTTTCAGCTATTGCCAAATACCAATGCCCGCCGTTCTGATCATAGTTGGGACTGACATAATCTGGAGATTTGTAACAGACTGTTCACCACTTGCAATAGAAGAAACTTTCAGACAGAATCCAGAAAAGGCATTTCACTGAGATCTAGAAAGCTTTCTTTTTCAGTTTATAACCAAACATGCAACATTAGTTTCACCCACTCTTGTATCCAAGTGGCCCCGGCTTTAAGTATGCTTTTAAGTAACATATTGGAGGCTTTCCAAGGAGTTATGTAAATAGTTCCAGGCATTTTTACTCCTCCCCACCCCAATAAAACTAAAATCTTCCTGCAGACCAAACTCTACCTGGCATGTCACAGGTGTCGTTCCCACAGGCAGTACACAGGTTCAATAGTTCAAAAAGACAGAGGCCCTATATCTAATATGAGCAGGCAAAAACCTAAGTGCTTTTCAATTGCACTCCAGGTTGTACCAAGGCTGCACCAACAATAACAGCTTTACTTCCCTAGATGATTCTTCCCAATTCCTAGATGGAGCTCCAAGGGATTTTTAAAAAAGGATGACATTGTTTTCATAGTCCTTCTATCAGTCCTAATGACACTTCCACCACCATCATCGTCATTACTTCACGATAAGAGTCCTTGCTGAAATCCCAAACGCAGGCTGGGTTTGGGCCAATGCAACAGCTAGGCTCAATTGGGTTTGACAGTTTGTAGCTTGCTGCGCTTTGGAAACTGAAACTTTGCCTCTGCATCCTATATGAACTATAACTGCACTATGATTTTATCTATTTATTTTAAAACATAGTATACCATTAACTCGGGTTTAGGGAATTGTATGATCCCAATCCATGAAAGCTGTATTACTTCTCAAATGCAGTTTTTAACTGTATGTCCACTCCTCATTTAGTGTGTGTGTGTGTATGTGAGAGAGAGAGGGAGACAGAGAGAGAGGGAGACAGAGAGAGAGGGAGAGGGAGAGAGGGAGAGAGGGAGAGAGAGGGAGAGAGAGAGAGAGAGAGAGAGAGAGAGAATGAAGATCATTGCTTGCTGCTGTCTCATTCAGATGAAGTTTTCTCATACAGCTACACTAGTGTTACTCTCAATCCTATGGGTGTTGCTGTCAAGGTGTACAAATTTTGGCTGTAATATGTGCACATTGGTCAGAAAATGAATCTTTTATTGCCATGGTATTTACAAATGGTTGCTAACTGAGATTCTCACTAAAGGAAGAACGGGTATACTTGGAAAACTCGGTTAATAAGTAGGAACCTGTTTTTATTCTAAGTCATTCAGGACAGTGCCAATATAGCCCTTGGAATAGCCCTTGAAGTTAAGACTTCAGCAAGAACTACTTAATGATGCCTCCACCTAAGTGTGTCTCAGTTTTCCCCAAATCTTCCTACGTGCCATACACCTTGACAGGTTTCCTATGGTTGGTTCTGGCACTGTTCTGTACAGGCAGTATGAAAGGGGACTATGCAATGCTCCATATTTTACACATCACATTTCAGGCAATCCGATTAGAAAGAAAAACAACGGAGTGTTATTTGATGCTTAGTAACAGATCACAAGACAAGGATTACTTACTGCCAATGTGTTGTCGCCAACGTTTGAGGCTATGAGCCCTTCAATTGTGCCATATTCTGCATCCCTTGAATTCAGCCTTTCCATATGGCACTGCCGAATCTTTCTGATGATTAGCACCGCTGCCACCGAAAATACGATCAGCACCATAAAGGGAGCCAGTACAAAAATAACAAACATTTCCATGGTATAACCCATGGCTTCCCCTTGAGATGGATGCCCTTCACAAAGAGAGACAACAACAACAAAAAATATGATTAGGCAAAAGCTTGATGCAGATGGCTTTGAGAAACATGATCTAAGAACAAGACTAAAAAGAAGAAAGGGAACCCAAGCACAAGTTGTCTCCCTTTGCAATGGAAGAGCACTCAGAAAGAAGATCACACCACGGGGACTTCCGGTTTGAGTTCCTTCGCCGACAGACCGAAACTGCGATCATGCGCGGTTTTGATCTGTGCTTGCCGCTGGAGAGCCCAAAGCCGGCTGGTTTCGGGGCTAAGCCACCCCGTAGAGGTGGTGAAGAGGGGGGAGACTGCCAGCAGAGTTGAGGAGAGCCGCATCTCTCCTCCTCAGCTGGCCATTACTCCCTTTCCCAAAGGCGGTTGCAGCGGTGGTCAGAAATGGCCACCTCAAAGAAGAATTCGACCGGAAAAGAATGTGCAGGAGGAAGATAAGAAGAGAAAGTTTTGGTTGACCGGGTTAAACTGCAAAAGCAACAACGTAAGGTACCCTGGAGTTTAAACTATTAAAAAATAACATTGTTCCCAAAGAAGATTTTGAAATAGCGAAGGAGAGAGGGAAGGGAAAGGATTTGGTTTATTTTTCTTCCCTTCCCTATACTGACAGCTAAGAGACTTAAGCAAGAAATTGAAAAAAAATCCACTTTGACATCAATAGGTATTTAAGCTGAAAATAAAATGTTAAAGGGATAATAAAGATTCCTGGATACTTAAAAGCTTTTAAAAGCAGGAAAGGAGAGAAAAAGAATAAAAGGGCAGGATCTGGAAAAATGGAGGAGACTGCCTGGAACTAATAGGAATTTACAGTGAAACTTCAACAAGATTCCTAAAAGATACATTTTAACTGAAACTTGGCAACAAAATAATAGAACCCCAGAAAGAGAAAGTGGAAAAAAGAAGCAAGAAGAAATAGCTTTGGATTATTTGGATTATTTGGTGATCTTTGGATTTTTGGTTATTGCATTTAAATGACTAAAATCAATCGGGTGGTTGTTTAAAAGTGTTTAAAATGGCACCACTTTTAGAAGAACTGAAAATGGAACTTAAAAAGTACAAAGAAGATGCACAAGAAGGGAGAGGTTCTTTTGGCTTTGTATTTCAACTCTTAGAAATGGAGATCTGGAACTATGAGAAACAAGAAACGCTTGCAGAACAAAAAGATTGGGACAAAGAAGAAGCCATCTTTAATGAACAAGTAATTTTATGTGGGAGGAAAAAGGAAAGGGGGGAAAGAGAATGAAAAGTTTAAGATTTGAAAAAACAACCCCCAAAAAGAATAGTTTGAAAAATAAGTATAATATTAGAAAGCAACAGAAGAGGGGATTACAGAAGAGAGAATTAGAAGTAGAGAGACAACTTTTCTTCTGTTGATAGAAAACAGTGGCTTGTATATTTGTTCTTTTTTTTTTTTATCAACAAACTAACAATAATTTAAAAATATGGTAGATGAAACTACGATGTTTATGTTCCAGTTGTTTATTGCTCTCAGACACATGTGACTGTTCTAAATTTGCAGCTTAGCATTATTCACCAATATGTGTCAATTGGGGTTGTGACCGTTCACTCATGAATTCAGGAGCCATTTATAGCAATGTTTTGGGGGTTTTTTTCCTTGTCAGCCTTGTGTGGGCAAAAAGCAGGAACGCTGCCCAAACTCACTTGTGCTCTGAGCAAGCATGCAGATCTTGGATCTCCTATGAAGGCTGCCAAACGAACAAGGAAAGACTAAACAGGAAAAGGGTGTCCCTCTCTGAGGTCTCTTTAAAAACAGAACCAAAAAGTTTCACCTTTCATTGGTAGCTCTGCTGTTATGTTGAAGTTGCAGAGGTGCCCTTGACAGCATTCCACAGCTTGATCTGAAGATGGAGGAGTTCTACATGTCATCTTCCCCTGCTCATAAACTTGGAAGCAGCCCTTCTGATAAACTCTTTCTCCATTATTGATGCTCAAGGAGGAGAAGCACCTATGTCCTTTGCAGCGGAGTCCATTCACACATGACATGCCTTCGCACACACATTCATAGTCGGTCATTAATTTTAGCTCGTCTGTGGAGAAGAGAAAACGGACCATTTTATTAATGCAAAAAACTTCCTGAATCATTTCATCAAACAATATCATCAATTTTGTGGACGTTTTTGCAGAATCCATTTCTCCCTCTTGGTCCAGGTATAGAGCATTAGCATTCCATGAAAATGCAAACTGTTCAGCATTTTGGGTATACTCTGTTGAGTTAATGTTTTACAGTTAAATTAAGCAGACACCATGTTAAGCCAAAATCTGCTTTGTTTAGGTTTGGCTAAGCATGAGGGTAGGAAGTCAGCTAGTGGTTTGCAAACCACTGTTCAGTAATATATGTGCAAACCCAATGCATTTATTTTTATTTGTTTGTTTGTATCCCGCTTTTTTATTTTTACCAATAACACAAGGCATATCCACCACACCTTCCTCTTTCCATTTTCCCCAAAACAATAACTCTGGGAGGTGGGTTGGGCTGAGAGTGAGTCATTGCCCCAAACTCACCCAGACGGCTTTCATGGCTAATGCAGGATATGAACTCATGGTCAATTGAGGTTTACTCAACAAGCTATCCTTAATCATACCATGGTATAATATGACATGTAAGCAAGGCCACTTAAGAGAGGTATCTATGCTTGCTAGATTCCTTCGCCTCAATTTTCCATCAAAAGGTATAGAATTCAGTAACAGTAAAATATCAATAGGCATCGGCATATCGTACAAATTCTTTCAATTTTCCTAATGCAAAAGCAAAATGTTGCATCTTATTAGACCTAATGTCTAAAATTCATTTTAAGGCTTGATCATAAATCACAATTATTTATGTTCAAACAATACTCTAAGCCTATGCCAAATCTGACCCCATAGTATTATTATGAGCCTCTGTGACACAGTGGTTAGAGTGCAGTACTGCAAGCTACTTCTGCAGCCAGCTGCCTACAATTTGGCAGTTCAAATCCCACCAGGCTCAAGGTTGACTCAGCCTTCCATCCTTCCGAGGTGGGTAAAATGAGGACCCAGATTGTTGGGGGCAATATGCTGACTCTGTAAACCGCTTAGAGAGGGCTGTAAAGCACTATAAAGTGGTATATAAGTCTAAGTGCTATTGCTATTATATGTGAATAAAATATATATAACTGGATGTCCACTGTAAAAACCACCATCAAAACCCAAGCTTGATTCAAATATCACACTAAGCCATATTCTTATTTGCATTAAGACTTATTCAATTTATCAATATTGGACAAACAACAGTTCAATATACGTGAATCCACCCATAGATTCTAATCCTAGCTTGTCATCCATTTGCCAAACACACTGAAGATGATGTTGACATCACATCTCACCATAGTTAAGCTTCCATAAAGATGGTTCCGAACATTTTTAAAAGCAGGCCATTGCCCAAGCATTTCAAAAACCAAGAAGAGAAATCTCCACAAAGATTCTCAGAAATCCTTGCCTCTTCTCCCTTTGTCTCCACAGCTTTGTGTGGCTTTTCTGGCTACTGTCAATGATGTAACTATCAAGTTCCACACACAAGAGAGATCATGCATGCAACAAATATCTTCTCAAAGAATATATTGAATTACACTTAAAAATCAGGAGGAAGGAATTAAATTCTATCTAATTATAATCAAGCAAACAGCATGGAGAAAGACAGAATGCTTCCACCTGGCACACTTGGAATAGGACATAGGGCACAGAACATGCAAGATGTAGCACTAAATGACACTCCTTATTTACTCACTTGCGTACATCATTGTCAAGGAAAGACAACTGTACTTGGCATATGAAGCAGAACATGAAACAAATACCTCCCAAGTAGGTCTAAAAATAAAACAACGCAGCCAAGGAACAGTTTGATGGTCTTTTGTGACAAGCAAAGTATGCAGAGTTTTGAGAATCCCAGCCTTCTGGGCATCTGCTGAAAAAAAAATCACCTGCTTTTGTGTGTGAGAGGAGGGGGCAGGGGAGGGGAGGGGAGGAGAGGAGAGGAGAGGAGAGAAGAGAAGAGAAGAGAAGAGAAGAGAAGAGAAGAGAAGAGTTGTCCCATGAAATAGTGGTTTCAGATCTTTGGGGAAGGGAGACAATGGGAACAGGAGTGTGAGGATGGGTCCTGCCCCTTAGAACTGTTCCACTGATCACTTAATGATTCTATACATCTGGGGTTCTGGAGATATGCAATAATTGCATATGTACAAATACACAGAGTGAAACCAATTGGTAATTAGCCAAATTATATTTTTATAAAATGAGTGCTAAGCTATGTTTGGAAACAGTGAGATTTATTCTGCAAGGTGCCTTGTTGGCAAAGCAATAGAAACTTACATATCTGCATCAATATCTCTATACATGTCTGTGTATTTATATATAATCAAAGCTATATAGTTTTAAACTGGAGGAAAAAGAACATATGGTTCTGAAGCAAAAACAGAGCTAATTACATAAAACAGCATCTAAAAATAATTCATGGCATGGACCCTGATTTTCAGTTCTGGCACGTTTTATTTCCTGATTGCAATTCCATACTTTGTATTTTAAAACTACAACTGCAAAACAAATCTGATTTGTCAATAAACAATCCAAGTGGGATCTTTGGTGCTCTCTGAACTTGGTTGTTTGCTTGTAGACATTTTGTTATCCAACCAGGAAAGTTACCTAGTTGGGTAATGAAACACCTGCAAGCAAACAACCAAGCTCAGAGAGCACCAAAGATCCCACTTGGATTATTACAAATATTCTCTCCTATTGGAATACAGGTAGTCCTCGAGTTATGAATGCAGTGGAGCCTGCCAATTACATTCATAACCCGAGGATTCGTTGGAGTGAATCACATAAAACACAAAAACTCCCTGCTTTTGCCCATTCATTTGCTAATCAAATGTGCAGGTCGTTAAGTGCACATGAGGTATCTCAGGATAGGGAAGGCCATGAGAGGCCACCTGCTTAAGAACATCTAAGGCCTCCTCCCACCCACTGAGATACTTCATGCTCCCCTCATCCTGTTGCGATGGGCCACTTACCTTGCAAAGATCTAGCAAGCTCTCCAGCCTCTCCGCCTCATAAGATCATGGCACCCAGAAGCTTTTAGTCTCCACACAAAATGTTTGCGAGGCGATGGGACGCTTCAAAGAAGGAAAATCATGCTGCCTCAAAGCGTCCCGTCGGCTGGCAAACATTTTGTGCGGGAAGCTTCTGGGCGCTGTGATCACGTGCGACTTCAGGCACCCATCTGCTTTTGCGGAGAATGGTAGCCTGAAGTCCTGCAAGATCACGGCACCCAGAACATTTCACTCTCAGTGCATGGAAAGCGTTTGGAAGCTGATTGGATACTGGAAGCGAAATTGTCTCACTCTCAAAGAAATCGCGGCAGAGAGGAGACAGATCTCTGCAAGATAAGTGAGTCCGGTGTGGCAGTACGGGAGAGGGGAAGCAATTGTGGGCAGCCAGTGGGGAGAGAATAGGCAGGATGAAATGTTGCAATGCCTCTGCGGTCATTCATAAGGTGAACAACTGCCGTGTCGCTGCAACATTCATAATTTCAACTGTGGGACTGTGTCGTAAATACTTGGGTGGGATTATCACATAACTTTGAACGGTCACTAAGTGAACTGTCGTACTTGAGGATTACCTATAATCAAAGTCTCCTAATGGATAATGTGCCATCACATCATTGTTGACAACTACACGGATTTTCTCTGTGACAATCTACTCCTGACTTGGTATTTCAGATCTTCCATCACCATATTCATTGTTACTGTAACTGAGTCCCTTGCTGCTGGTCATCCTTTTTCTCTTTCCTTTCATCTTTCCCATCTTTGGAGCCTTTTCCAGAGTGCTAGGTCTTCACTTAGCTTTGTTTGGTCATTTGTGCCTCAAGTGAGAACTCCGGGTCAATTTGTTCAATGATCCATTGGTTTGTTTCCTTGGCTGTTCAGAGTCTGCCCTTTAAACAAGGTCCTATTTAGAGTAGGTTAAAATCATTGTCATTTTCATGGCCCAATATCCAAACAGACACAATCCTTGCATTCTCATTATTGATCTGATCACTACTTGATCAAACAGTTCTCCTGACGTTTGGACAGCCTGGAGGTAACCTATCTAAATTAGGAAGCCAAGGAATCCCTGAACACTCTGTTCAATCACATCACCCTGTAGCAATAATTGCCAGTGGTATTTCAACATGATGTACTTTAGAAGATACACACAGTATAAACAGAAGCAAACAACTCTTAGTTTTCCCTTGGACATTTTTCCAGACAGAAGCATGCATTGGTTTTCCCCCTTTGGTCGATCAATTCAGAAAAAAAGTGTATGTATTTTTGTAAAGAATTGCTTTTGTATAATGGAAAGACACACCCTATTATCAAATGTACTTTATGGTAAAAGTTTGTATTGCTGTGTGCATTTTTTTTTTTACGTGACTCAGTATAAAGAACAAATTCAATGCATTTGGGAGGGAAAATCCAAATGACCCTTCTCATTCATAAACAATTCACCTGGCTGTTTTTTAATAACTTCGACCTGTTATGAAATCCAGCATTTTCTCTGAAAGCCAGAGGGCCCACTTAGGAGTTCTGAGACACTCTCTGAAGGGGAGAATATACACTTGAAAAATAGAAAGGCAGTTGCTTAATGTTCTTTTAGTGCAGGGGTCTCCAAACTTGGCAACTTTAAGAGCTGTGGACTTCAACTCTGGCTGGAGAATTCTGGGAGTTGAAGTCCACAAGTCTTAAAGTTGCCAAGTTTGGAGACCTCTGTTTTAATGCCAAACAGGGTTTCCTTTCTTACAAAAGTCACTGTCTGCTCTGCTATTGAATGAACTCCAGGTATTGTCCACTGGCGCTGAGTTTTACCATTTGCTATCAAAACTCGGTGATTATGTTACTTGGTTTTGCTACACAGTGCTAGAGGAAATTTGTGGGCTTGAATGATTCAGTTAATATCTTGACCACAGAGACAGTGAGACACCAAGGAACCCCATAAAGAGAACTCCCATTTCCTGCACAGGTTAAATCTAATGAAAAGG